TGGGCCCTCATGCCTCAAACCCTTCCGCCTCAAGCACAAAGCCCTAGGCCCTACAAGCCTGCGCCCTGGACTCGAGACCCTGAAACCCGAAAACCCTACACCCCAAACCCTGAGCCCTACAAGTTTAGGGTTTAGGGTTTAGGGTAACCCTGAAACCCTGAAACCCTGAACCCCTACGCCCCATATTGGTTTCACACCAGCCGCGAGAATAACAAGCCCCAAAGCCTTGAAGTTCAAGAAGATCCATGGCGCCTGGACCATGGGTTAGGGCCCTTAGGGCCTTAGGGGATTAGGAGGGGGTTTAGGGTTTACTTGAAGGTTCATTGATAATTATAAGTAGGGTTATACGTGGCCTCATCCAGGTCCTAACCTTATATAAAATATCCATGAACCTTCAAGTAAGGTTTATGGGTTGAGGCTGTGAGGTTTTGGTCTAGGCCGTTTACCTGGCAGAAGGTTTCTTGACTTTTCTAAACGGCCAACACCATGCTAGATAAAGCACCTTTCGTACTATGAAGGGGGGCAAAGTGCTTCCACGTGGTTTCTTGGCCATCCGCGTGCGTGCGTGTGGGTGTGTCTCGCGACCAAAAGCTTCAAGCCCTGCACCAAATTCTGACCACTTAAACCTCTAAGCCCTGGACCCTTGAAATCCCTCGTGGCTCGGACCCTCAAAGGGGAACCTATCAAGCGTTTATTCCGACCCCTACAGTAGCCTTGCTCCCAAGAGATCTGAAGGCTGGCGCAAAAGCGTTACGCCCACAAGCGCCATCCACACCTTGACATGCTGTAGTTTCAATAGTAAAGCATACCATTTTCATCAGGGTTCTTGTAAATAGACCACAAGCTTGGGGCCAATTTGAAACACACCCTCATGTCCTGGCAGTTGTGCCAGACTGTGCATAGGAGCCCAGGCAGAAACGCGCCTGGTCCCATTCATAACATTAAAGAGTCAAGTAGGGCTTAGGGTTTGTGGGTAGGGTTACGCTAACGAACTCACCCTAAGCTGCCATATCAAAGGGCTTAGGATGTTCAGGATGTAGGGCGTTACCATAGTATGGGCACGTACTAAAGTAAGGTTTCCCCTTATTCCTGCCTGTGAGAAAGAGGGTTGCTGTTATATCAAGAGACCATCTACTATGGATATCTAGCGCAAGAGAGTATGGGGTGGGGGGGGGGGGGGTTGGGGGTTGGGGTGTGGATCCTCTACACTATGGTTCTCATGTGGGTTTCTTGAATATCTGGCTCTGTAGTATGATAGGAGCCCTGGAAGGGAGATACCCTGCGTATCAATATGTCACCGTAGTGCACCTGTACTTATAACCATATTAGGGCACTTAAGCGGCTTATAAGTGGGTTATAAGTACAGTTATAATTAATTGGTTAATAAGTACGATGAACCTCCAAGTACAAGTATGGTTGGTAACTTATCGTGCGTTTCTTAGCAGCAGCGCCTGTGGCCTCATCCACCATCCCTGAGCCCGAAACCTCAAGCCTAAGCCCACAAACCCCTAAGCCGTGAACCCTAAACCCCAAACCCGAAACCCTATAGCCTAAACCCGAAACCCAAAACCCCAGACCCTAAACCCTAATCCAGCACCCTCCTGGAAAGTTGAAGCCTGAAGGCTCGGGGCTCCGTGAATTTCGATCCCCTGAGCATACGGCGGCACGGCAATGTCCCCCCCCCCCACCTGTTCTTTTGGCGCACAACGCAAAACAGACCGACAAAAGTCCTCAAGGGCTTACGGTCAGGGTCTAGGATTCAGGGGTTAGGACTGAAAAGGTTCAGGATTGAGGGTTTAGGGGAGAAGCCCCCCAAGAATTATCTCTAAACAGGGCGCACCCCCGACCAAAACGATGCAAGTCCTGGCCCCTAAACCCTAAATCCTAAACCCTAAACCCTAAACCCTAAACCCTAAACCCTAAACCCTAAACCCTAAACCCTAAACCCTAAACCCTAAACCCTAAACCCTAAACCCTAAACCCTAAACCCTAAACCTTAAACCCTAAACCCTAAACCCTAAACCCTAAACCCTAAACCCTAAACCCTAAACCCTAAACCCTAAACCCTAAACCCTAAACCCTAAACCCTAAACCCTAAACGAGGGGGCACTGTGCCGCCCGCAGCTAAGCGCAGAAACCACGGCGCGATGCAGCGATGTGTTGGCGGGCTTTTCCGTAGCCGCTCCGATGACGTAGACTCTGCCTTTGCTTACTAGGATGCCCAGTAGTACCCTTATTCCCTTTTTGGTAGGTTTAGGTTCCCTTCTAAACCCCTTTAAGCAAAAAAGGGCACCCTTTTTAATCCCAGGTTACTGGGCAACCCAGCTTGTCAAGTTGCGCAGGACTACGATTCGTCTCGTGCCATACACTCACGATTAGATGCCAATGCCCCCCTTGAACCCGAACACATAAGTGTCGTCCATGCCCAAGACACAAAGCTACCCCCCAAACCCTGAGAATCCTAACTCCTAACTCCTAAAGCCTTCTCCTTCCAAGCATTCCCTTGAAGGCTTCAGCACCTTTCGGGTTGCCAAGGGTGCCCCTAGGGGGGGGGGGGGGGGGGGGGGGGGGGGGGGGGGGGGCGGGGGGGGGGTTGCCCAAGATTCGCTTTTTTGATAAGGGGAACACCGGGATTATTATCTTCTATTTTTTTGGGGGGTTCTTAAGCAAACAGTAGTTCTAATAGGCACCCTCAGTCAGTGCATTTTGCCTGACCGCGCAGTTTAGATCACCCTAAAGCTGTAAACCCGAGAGTAGATGTTAAAGGATAGCCACAACTAGAGTCCCCCTTTCAGGCTACTTTGTGCCTACTTGCTAAGTCTCCCGATCCCCCAAGTAAACCCTCCTGAACCCCAAACCCTACCCTAAACCCTAAACCCTAAACCCTAAACCCCAAACCCTAAACCCTAAACCCCGAACCCCGAACCCCTGGAACCCTTTTGGACTGCAACCGGAGCCGACTCAGCCACCCGTCCAGCCACCGGCCAAAGGCCGAGCCTGTGGGGTGAAGGGGTCCTTCACTTTGGGGACAACTGAGGGTTGAGGGTTTCAGGGTTCTAGGGTTCTAGGTTCTTGGGTTTTAGGGTTTTGGCTCTAGGGGTTTAGGGTTTTTGATTGCTAGGGCCCTTTGTATTTGGGGACAACCTAGGGTTTTGCGTTTCGGTTCAAGGGCTTGTTTTCTCAGAATGGGTATTTTCGGCAACATTCTGCTTGGACAGTACTGGTAAGTAGCCCTAAACCTTAAACCTTCAACCTTTTACCACTAAACCCTAAACCCTAAACCCGCTTTATTATGGATTTCGGGGTCCCCAGGTGCAGTTCCCAGCACCCCGCTCATGAGGGAATCAGCACGCGCTTGTGGCGCCAAGGTTGCGCAACGTTTGTAAACGCAGAGCTCCAGCGCAGCCCGCCAAAAAAAATCGTGGTCGGGGCTTCTTCTGAGCTGCGCCACTTGGAGGTTCATGGGTACTTGTAACCCATTCATAAGTCTACTCAGAGCACTTAGTTACAGTTGGGGTTATAAGTACCCAAGTAGGGGGCCTGATCTGCACTTGGGGGGGGGAGCCTTGTGCTTGTGTTCTAAAGGTTTGACAAGCCTGCAAGAATGCACATGTAGAAGCACTTGGCAGTGATACAATTATACACGTTTTACATACTGCAGTCTAACTCTCGAAGTCCGCGTGCCGAAGTGGCGATGATGCTGAAAGGCTTTGGCTGCTTTCCTACATTTCTCATTGGCTTAAAGTAATGTTTAAGGATGAACTAGGAGGCCCCCTCTTGGGCACTTGAAACCGGGGCCTGGAACACTCGGCTGCTACGTGCTCGGTTTCTTCAGAGATGTCACGGGTCTGCTGCTGCCTATGGCTGCTGTCTGCACGTACGAATTCGCAATGTCAGGTTGTGTGGCTTTTTGGTTCGATGTGTTGGAGGATGTTCTCACTCCATAGGGTCCTCACAAGCATTCAAGATGGTCAAATGGGGGTTTTCGATATTAGGGGGTGCCTTACTGGGGTCCTTAGTCTAAGGGAATCCTACTATTGGGGGGACTATGTTCGGTGTCCCTTGTTCTCGTCAATCCCCAAATAGTTCCGAGCTTGTGAGAAAATTATAGGCTCCGTCTGGGATGGAGGCTGCCAAGATCTGGCATATGGCGTTTCCACCAGCTCAATATGGACTAATGGAGGTACCCTTGTAAGGGACCTTAGGGGTTCTTTGGGGTTTATTTAGGGGCTCCTTAGGCTTTTGAGGACGATAGAAGGTAAGAATAGGGGCTATGTAGGGGAATAAGATGAAGGGGTCCCTTTTAGGGGTCCCTCCTTATACCCCTGAACATGCGCAAGTGCTGGCACCCTTTTGCTCAAGGACTTGCCTCAGCTGCGACGCCCAACGGAAGATGTACAGCTCAATGGCACAACCCGGGGTCTGCCGAGACATCATCGTATACAAAGTAGCCTGCTACTGTGGGTTGTATACGTTCTGGGGCATTCTATAGTAGAATGAATAGTGCGCGATATCGTGCACTTTAGGGCTTTCAGTGGCAAGGCTGGCATGGCGTTTTTGTCAATTCCCGCTCATGGGATGCTACCGGCTGTGAGGCCACACACTACAGGGTGTACTACTACAGTACTACAGTACTACAGTACTACAGTACTACAGTACTACAGTACTACAGTACTACAGTACTACAGTACTACAGTACTACAGTACTACAGTACTACAGTACTACAGTACTACAGTACTACAGTACTACAGTACTACAGTACTACAGTACTACAGTACTACAGTACACTCTAACGTATACTGCGCTCGCTTCATTATTCAAGACGATTGCCGTGTGAAGACGCCGTTTCCCTAGCCTGCAGCTTGAAGTCACAGTTCTAGTGCCAGCGATTCTCAGATGGAAGCGTGAACAAGTTGCCTGTTGCGGCTCTGGCTCTACGCCCTAGCCCCTAGCCGGAAGTTCTTTTTCCGACCGCAAGCAACTCCATAATCTCGACGTCATGCCGGAGGAGGGAGTGAAAATTCTCCCCACTCTGCAAGTAGCAGTGTTCATGGGCTCCTGGGTCGCCTCATGGATGAGCTTGCTCTTCAATTCCTACCGGATGGTCTTGGGTCCATTGGGCGGCCATCGCCTCGATGTTCTTTATGTCTTCCCGGTGGTGGTCCTGCTTCTCGGACTCCTCATGACCAACCTCAGCGGGTACTTGGAGGAGCAGAAGAAGGATCCAGCCTTGGCCAGGGCCGCGATCTGGGACGCGGACATGTTCGTCCTGATCCGAAGGCACGGTCGGGAGCTCTGCGCTGGCAAGGCCCCCGAGGCCTGGAGCCGCCTCAAGACGCGCCAGGCCCTCGGCCGGGGCATTCCGTTGTCTATGGTCTCATTCTATCTGGCAAGCCGTCACCTGGTGGAAGGGCCATCTTGTCAGGCGGCATCATCCCTGAGCCGAGTTCTGGTTCAGGGCAGAGAGCAGTCAGACAGCCGGCTCGTGAAATTGCTGGCCGATCACCGGCAAATATGCGGCTTTGACTTGCCCTTTGGCCAAGGGCTGAATTGCACGACGAGCGAGGAGTTGAAGCCGAAGCAGACTGACCTCCTCCGCCAACTGCAAGAAGGTGAGCTGCCTGCTTGGGGCGAAGGCTTCACAGAAGCCTTACAGACGTCCGAAAAATTGGTCTGGAGCGCAGCGCATTGTGAGCAGTCTACGTGGTTGCTGCAGGCAGCGCAGGGTAACAGCAGATGCGGTTATGAAACCTGCGTCAGCCAGGGCCCGATGCCAGCCGGCCCAATCCGCGAAGTCAACCGCTTCTTCACTTCGCAGGTGGTGCCGCTGATGATGGAAAACAAGAACATGGAGAGGGAAATTCGACGCTTGGCCAGTAGGTCAGCGAACAATGTGCTGTTAAAAGCAGGGGCAAGTGTCCTCCCCTATCCGCTTTTCGCCAGTCTCGTGGCCAAGAAAACTTACATTGGCAGCCACAGTATTGCAGGCGTGCTAATCATAGCTCGGAGGCAATGGCAGCTGCAATTTCTGGTTGGCCTAGCCTCCTTGCTAACGTCAGTACAGCCACTGGCCACCATGGTCTGGACCCGCCGGCGCCTGAAGCCTTTTCGCAGACTGCATCTTTTGCTCCACTGTAGCCTGGACATTCTCATTCTTGAGATCACCGCAATATTGATTCTCAATGCAAGCGTCATCATCCACATAGGCCGAGGGACGAAGCACGCAGCGCACACGTTGATGGATGCAACCAGCGAAGTTTTAAAGAGTTTTTCTTCCGTGTCCGAGGCACAAGGAAAAGACCTTTACAGCCAACACACGTGGCCAACAGTCATAGAGCAAGCTCCGAAGCTCGTCGACCAGGCTGCAGAAGCGCTCAGGGTCGGTCCCTGGAGCTTGGTGCAGTTCCTGGTTTCAGCACTCATCGTCTACAGCTTGTCAACACATCTGCTCAGGGCCAGCTCTGTGTCAAGCGAGTTCCCGCTGGTGTCTCGGTGGAATGCGGCTGTCGGAGGACCTCTGCAGCTTCTTGGGGCCGTGGAGGATCCTGAGGTCCGACGGCTGTGCCAGCCCGTCCGCTGGCAGATTCTTCTCCGATCGCTGCTCCTCAGCGGCCTCCTGCTCGCGTTGTTGTGCCGAGCCAGCGCGTGGGACGTGGGTCTCTTCACTTCCATGGTTTTCCAAGTCAGGATGTTCAGGGCTCATGTTGTGTGGCTGATTCTGTTGGTGTTGCACCTGAGCACAGGGATGTTGGTGGTCATGGACATCGAAGAGCAGCAGGAGGCCAGAGATCAGAAGCGCAGGCTAAGAGATGTGGAAGCTCCCACATCTGCTAGCGCGCCTCCTCCCTACGGCACCTTCGCCCCCGCGCAGGGGCTGCAAGGAGTGCAGGGCAGCAGCTGCCCTGCGCCAGGCCCATTGTTGCCCCCTGGGCTTGGGGTGACCACGCAGGCCCCAGGGATGGTCTCGGGCATGAGTTCCCATCCGTAGACAGCCAAGCTCGCGCTGACAAGTCTTCGCACGACATCGCTAAACATCGGCAACGCCATGCAACACTTGCAACTTGTAACTCGTAAGTGCTTGGCAAAAAGGCTCACCAGTGTAGCAGAAGGCCATGAAGCATGGAACCTTAGATTTGCGGGTACGCAAACAGGGCAAGCCTCTTCAAGCCTTTGTTGCAGCTTTGGGTTCAAGGTTGTTGGGCAAGGACTTGGTGCAGGTGTGTAGGCGTTGGTGGTCCAACGTGCTCTTTATGCAAGTGTGAGTCGACGGCCTTGTGGCCACAGGCACCCATCGCGGGATCCTGATCTCCAGCTTGGAAGGACCTTCTGTTGCACCAACTGTCGGGGGTTGGAGTGGGTTTTTTTTTTATCCAGATGCCGTTTGAAGCGGGTTTAGGGTTTTAGGTCCAAAAGAGGTAGGACTTGAAAGACCTTGCAAGGATCAACGTGTACTTCAACGAGGCGAGCGGCTTCCGCTTGACTGCATCCTGAGTTGTGCTTCGCTGTTTGTATAATCACCCCAGGACTAGCAAAACATACCATTTTTCAAGGGGGTTCTACTGAATAGCCTGCAAACTTAGGGCCAAGTTCAACCGCACCCTCATGTCCTGGCAGTTGTGCCAGACTGTGCATAGGCCATCGTTTCAAGTCAAGTAGGGCTTAGGGTTTGGTGTTAGGGTTACTGTCGACGAACCCACCCGAAGCTGCCATATCAAAGGGCTTGGGATGTTGCGTTCAGGGTCAGGGTTTGGGGTGTTACCAGAGTATGGGCACATACTAAAGTATGGTTTCCCTATTCTGAGAAGAGGGTTACTGTTATCTCAAGAGACCATCTACTATGGATATCTAGCAAAAGAGTTTCGGGTGGGGTGGGGGGGGATCGTCTAAACTGTGGTTCCCATTTGTGTTTCTCCAGTAGCCCCAGAAGCGAGATATCCCTTCATCAATATGTCAGCGTAGCGCAAACGAGTACAATTCTGCTTGGAAACTTATCGTGCGTTCCTCAACAGCAACCCGACAAATGTGCCAAAACCTCTGGCCTCATCCGCGGTCCCTGAGCCGGAAACCTCAAACCCTAAGCCCTAAAGAGCCAAAACCCGAAACCTGCAACCTCAAGGAAAGTTGACGCCTGAAGGCTCGGGGCTCCGTGAACTTCGATCCCCTGAGCACACAGCGGCACAGCACCCCCCGCCCTCCGCCTTTAGGGTTTTACAGGGTCTTATAGGGTGTTGTAATAGGGTTTCATAGGGTTTTATAGGGTGTCATAGGGTGTCATAGAGTTTTATAGGGTTTTACAGGTTTTATACAGCCGGGTTTCACAGGGTTTTATAGGGTTGCCTAGGGGGTTATAGGGCTTATGGGGTTTATGAGCTCCGCCACCACAAAAAGCAACATGGACCATGCCTCCAAGGCTCAGCCCTCGGGGGCTTATGATCTATGGTTCAGGATTCAGGCAGGGGTTAGGACTGACGGTTTAGGATTGAAGGTTTAGGGGAAAGGTTTAGGGTTTAGGGTTTAGGGTTTAGGGTTTAGGGTTTAGGGTTTAGGGTTTAGGGTTTAGGGTTTAGGGTTTAGGGTTTAGGGTTTAGGGTTTAGGGTTTAGGGTTGAGGGTTGAGGGTTGAGGGTTGAGGGTTGAGGGTTGAGGGTTGAGGGTTGAGGGTTGAGGGTTGAGGGTTGAGGGTTGAGGGTTGAGGGTTGAGGGTTTAGGGGAAAAGGGGATCAAGAATCATATCTAGACAGGGCAGCAGGCCCCCAAATTTTGCAAATCCTGCCGGGGGCCACTGTGCCGCCCGCAGCTTAGTGCAGAAGCATGGCGCGATGCAACGACGCTTGGCGGGCTTTTCCGTAGCCGCTCCGATGATGTAGACTCTGCCTTTGCGTATCAAGTTGCGCGCGGGACTACGATTCGTTTCGTGCCATACAGCCACGTTAAATCTGAGGTTTTACGCCCATGCACACCTGGAACCCGAAAGCATGTCTTTCGTCCATGCCCAAGACACTAACAAAGTTTGAGAATCCTAAATCCTAACTCCTAAAGCCTTCCACGCCTTCCCGGCATTTCCATGCAGGCTTCTGCGCGTTTCGGGTTGCCAAGGGGTGCCCCTAAACCTCAAACCCTAGACCCCACAACCCCAAACCCTAAACCCTAAACCCCAAACCCTAAACCCTAAACCCCAAACCCTAAACCCTAAACCCCAAACCCTGAACCATGAACCCCGGGAACCCTTTTGGATTGCAACCGGAGACGGCTCGGTCACCCGCCAAGCCACCGGCCAAAGGCCGAGCCTGTGGGGTGAAGGGGTCCTGGACTTGGGGACAAATTTAGGGTTTTGGGGTGTTAGGGTTCTATCCCTCAACCCTAAACCCTAAACCCTAAACCCTAAACCCTAAACCCTAAACCCTGTTTAGGGTTCTATGGCCTTCTAGGATTCTAGGGTTCTAGGGTCTAGGTAGGGCTGCTTAGGCCTTTGTAGGGTTTCAGGATTCTAGGGTTTTGGGGTTTTGGGTTTTTTGGATTCTAGGGTTTTGGGGTTATAGGGTTTTGGGGTTTTAGGATTATAGGGGTGATAGTGTGTTGGGGTTCAGGGTTGCTGGGGCCTTTGTTTTGCAGGACATTGAGAGTTTCAGGGTTTAAGGTTGCTAGGGTTTTCGGTTGAAGGCAACAGTTTCTGAGTGTATGAGAGATTACAAGCGGCTAGTACTGGTAAGTAACCCCACACCCTAAACCCTAAACCCTAAACCCTAAACCCTAAACCCTAAACCCTAAACCCTAAACCCTAAACCCTAAACCCTAAACCCTAAACCCTAAACCCTAAACCCTAAACCCTAAACCCTAAACCCTAAACCCTAAACGCGCTGCATTATGAACTGCGGGGTCCCCAGGTGGCACCTCCCAGCGCCCCGCTCACGAGGGAATCAGCACGCGCTTCGGGCGCCAAGGCTGCGCAGCGTTGGTAAACGCAGAGCTCCAGCGCAGCCAGCCCAAAATGGTGGTCGGGGCTTCAAACCCTAAACCCTGAGCCCTAAACCCCAAATCCTAAACCCTGAACCCCAAACCCTAAACCCCAAACCCTAAACCCTAAACCCTAAAACCTAAAACCTAAAACCCTAAACACTAGGGCCACACGCTTTTGTTGCAAGGGTTTGGACGAACCTTCAAGAATGCGCATGCGGAAGCGCTTGGCAGTGTGACACATGCACGTCTTCCATGCTTCAGTCTAATTTCTTGAACATGGTACTGAAAGGCCTCGTTGCTTTCAAGAAGTAGGATTTAGCAATGTCTTTACAATCGTTAGTGGCCTGGATCCGGCCAAGTTGTGCCAGCTTGGGCCCAGCTTGAAACCTACTTGGAGGTTCATGATATTTAACCCAATAATAGCTGAGGTTCGTGTTGCATACGACCTGTCAGGGGTAAAGGGGCGTTTGGGGGCTTAGGCCCCCTGCAATGGGAGGAGTTTCGACTTGTGATCCCCAAGGCCGCAGCACAAACACACAAAAAACCAGTGAGTGTTGGGTAGGGCCCTGCGGGACAATTATTTAAAGTTCTTCCGTATGGACGTGCGCAATTCAGGGCATGTAAGGGGCGCCCTCTGTTATTCGGACATGTCCGCTTTTCCTTTGCCTTGGCCCAAGTGCTTGACACTCACAGATTGCTTTAGCCCCAAGCTTCCAGCGTCCGTTGCAGTCATGCGCGAGCTCGTGCACATCCAGGGAGGACCGAGCTTGACGAGGGTTTGGTATGTGTGAAGCTAAAGCCGAAACCCGAAACCCGAAACCCTAAACCCTAAACCCTAAACCCTAAACCCTAAACCCTAAACCCTAAACCCTAAACCCTAAACCCTAAACCCTAAACCCTAAACCCTAAACCCTAAACCCTAAACCCTAAACCCTAAACCCTAAACCCTAAACCCTAGACTTGTGAGAAAATAGCAGACAAGTTGCCCACACCCAAACTGCAAGCCAGGCTTTTACAGCGGCTACTTAGTCGGGGAACTGCAAGATGTCGCACAGACGTGGTTCAGGTGTGTAGGGTTTGGCGTGCCGCTGCCGACTCCAGCCAAGATTCTTTTAGCAGGGAAGTATTCTTCCTTAAACTGTGATAAGGGTCCCTAAACCCTAAACCCTAAACCCTAAACCCTAAACCCTAAACCCTAAACCCTAAACCCTAAACCCTAAACACTAAACCCTAAACCCTAAACCCTAAACCCTAAACCCGAATGATTTCAGGAATATTCCCTCAATCACGGTACATTAGGGCCTCCGACCTACATCCCAAGCATCCTCGGGCGGCATATTGCGTTGGGGTATGTTGCTCAAACCCTAAACCCTAAACCTTAAACCCTAAACCCTAAACCCTAAGCCCTAAACCCTAAACCCTAAACCCAAACCCCAAACCCCAAACCCCAAACCCCAAACCCCAAAAAACCCTAAACCCTAAATAGCACTCAAGCCTTCGGCTCCGAGCCGTCCGACGCCTCAAGCCCTGCCGTAGGGTTTAGGGTTTAGGGTTTAGGGTTTAGGGTTTAGGGTTTAGGGTTTAGGGTTTAGGGTTTAGGGTTTAGGGTTTAGGGTTTAGGGTTTAGGGTGTAGGGTTTAGGGTGTAGGGTTTAGGGTTTCGGGTTTAGGCTTTAGGCTTTAGGCTTTGTGGTTTGGGGTTTGGGGTTTAGGGTTTCAGGGTTGAGGCCTATAATTCGGGTCTAGGGTTGGGGGTTTGGGGTTTACAAGCACAATTTCTTTATATCATGCAAGCATAGACCCGAAATGATGAGAGACCATGTGAGCGCGGAAGTCCAGAAGCAGCGACAGTTTCGCTTTTAGGGCGAACGTTTGCCAGAGGTCCGATTTCGCACGGTAGTACATTTTTTTAGGTCTGTCTCACCTTGTGCAGCAGGGCCGTCGGTACTGCAGTACTGCCACCGGGTGGCCCAACTGCTCCATTCCTCAAGGTGGCCCCGCTTCACCTTGCGTGCTGTCCCTGCTTCTCCGGCCGTGGCATGCCTTGATGCCCAACAATCATCGTGAAGTTGCCTCTTGGGCTTACTATGATGATCGTTCTCTTAAGTCTACGGGTGGTCAGGTTGCCTAGCCTACGTGTCTAAAGCTGATGCAGATCAGCTTTAGACACGTAGCAGTTTGCCATTCTGGCAGGCTGGCTTCAGGCACAGCCGCGTGTAATCGCTGAGAGTGGATGGACTACCTTGTCAGCTTCGCCATGCAAAGCTAAGAGAGCCAAACTGCAGGCTGCAGCTTGCGAACTTGGCTGGCATGGAAGTCTTGCGGAGACTTACTCTTGCCCTCGAAGGCGGAGTAGGAAAGATTGCGAATGAGGTCACCACGCCGGGTCATTGGGCGGACAGAATCAGCCCTTGTCAGCGGCGATAATTACTGGATTCAGAATTAGGGCTTGGGAGCAGAGTCTGCAGAGATGGCAAATGTATGTCGTCTCCCGAATGCTGCTTCCGAGGGCCCTGGCTTGCCCAAGCAGCGCAGCAAAGGCAGGCTCAAATTCGTTTCAAGACAAACGCTACTTGGCTGAAGCCCCTCATGGCCTCATGGTTGACCCCAGCCAAGACAAGCTTGTCCCCAAGCTTAGCTACAGCTGCAAGCAAAGATGCTCTAACAGGCTTTTATTAAGAAGTGCCGGCAGAGGCGCTTGAAGGGTCGGCTTCTGCAGTTGGTTCCACTCGCAGAGCCTCAGCCAGGAAGTGCGCTGCGCCAACAGCCGCAGCTCCAAAGAGCCGCGATGCCAGACGCCTCCAGCGCTTGAAGAGCCCCCGCCAGCCCTCCACACGTGAGGTTTGGGGCCTCCATTCTCAAGCCGAGCCTCGCAGTGACGACGACGCTCTCGCCGCCCCTGCGGCCGGACGCCCAAGAATGACCGAGATAAGCTTGGCCGCAGCCGCCTCAGAGAGCAGGCATCCAAGTGCTGGATGAAGTGTCAAGGCAGACCCCCCCCCCCACCGCGCCCAGCGAGCCATGACACTTCTGTAAAACAGCTCAAAGCTCGCGCAGCCACATCATGATAAGCAGATTGCCACTGCAATTGACTCCTTTAAGGCTCATGTTGGCAAACACTTGCCAAAAAGGAGCCTCACCTTGTTCAAGCTTTCTGCCAGAAGAACACCGACGTTTCTTTTTTCGGACGAAGACCGAAATAGGAGATGCGCTTGCGCTCGCTGTGATCGCGTTGTGCACCTGCATTTCTGCAGGCGCCTTAAGTGCCCAAAGTCTCCAGTCAAGCTTTCGCATACAGATTCCTCAAATTCTCCACAGGACTCGAGTGGACAAAGAAGCGCCATGAATCTAACGCAGCAGGCTGGCTCCGCAACCGCATGCGGGCGCTGCAGAAATGGAAAGCGCAAAGGCACGCTCAGGCCAAAGCCAAAGTCCTCAAGCGCCCGGCTGCAACAAGAAGTCATCCTGACAAGTTTCTGCGGAGAGCGTGCCCCAATCTTGCTGGACTCTGCGGTTTGCTCAGCCCTCTTAAAAAGGACACCCCTCTGCGGTGGAGCCGTCCTTGCTAAGGACCGCTTCCTTACGATACTCAATTGCGCTATCAAGGCTGGTGCCCAAATCGCCCTGCAAGAAACGCGACGTCACGGCGATAACGTAACGGTTTCCCATTTGCCAACAGACTCGCCGAAGGGAAGGTGGCTGCACGCTGCTTTGGCGACAGCAGCCAGGTCGCGATAAGCCCGTTGCTAGCTCGGAAAAAAGGTTTTGCGCCAGGGTTTGGGATTTCAGTTGCTTGCTTCGGTGTACGGGCCCACAAGAGTCATCGACGCTGCTTGGCTTCATCGTTGCGTAAGCCATGGCCAATCACGGACGCCCCACTTTCCTTGTCGGGGAGCTTAGCTGGGTTTCTGCTTGCTCCAGTTTCGGCTGTAGGTGCTGACGCAGCCCCTTTGCCCATAAGCCGATCCCCCTCCGCCCCCCCCCCCCTCTCCGCGCTGTACGAGCCTGTCAAAATACCGACAGGTGCACAAAAGAAACTCTTGGATGCCATGGAGAAACTGCGCATGCAATGGATTTGCAATTGCAAGCTAAAAGTAAAAATCGAGACACGCCTAGAATCCTCCTGTAAACCCCCCTTACCTCAAAAGCCTCAGTACGTCGTGGGCAACGCTCGAAGACATCTCGGTCGTCAGACAATTGACCAGTTCAAAGTTTGCTGAACAAGTTCGTGCGCGATCATGCCAGTTCTCTCTGTAAACGTGCACATCGGAGTCGTGTTTTTTTGGGGCACGGGCTGCAGTCTCCAAGCCGCGAAGAGTTGGAAAACCACATGCGCAGGACAAAAAATTGCACACATGTGCAGGACAAGAGGCATAGCTGGACGATGCTCCTCCTGCCGCAAACCACCTACTATAGGGGCCTAAATAATTAGAATAGGTTTTGGGGTGTTATTACAGTATAACTATACAGGAGCCATAAGGGAATGTTATTAATACATTATATTACGTGCCTAGGTTGCTGGCAGTCAAATTTCACCATGTGCAGGACAATGCGGCAACCAGATCGGTGCCAAGTTCTGGGAAGTCGTCGCCCCAGGACATGCGCAGATATAATTTTTTTAGGCTTCCTACTCTAATATTTAGGAATGCCCCAAAAAAGGTCACGCTCACATCATCTGCTGAGGTCATCGCCGACGAGCATGGCATTGACCCTACAGGCAGGCCAAGCCTCCTAGAAGTCTTGGCAGCTTTAGGGTTTAGGGTTTCGGGTTTGGGGTTTAGGGTTTTGGGTTGAGGGTTTCAGGGTTTATGGGGCAAGGGCTTGGTGCAGGAGTAGACGTTGGTGGTCCAAAGCGCTCTTTAAACAAGTGCGACTCGGCGGTCCTTTTGCCCACAGGCACCTATCACGGGGACTCCGACCTCCAGCTTGAAAGGACCCTTCTTGCTCCAATGTCGCTTGAAGAAGTGGGCTTGGGGTTTCAGGCTTAAGGTCGAGGGTTTAGGGTCCAAAAGAGGTAGGATTTGAAAGATCTTGAGAACTTGAAAGGATCAACGTGTACTTCAACGAGGCGAGCAGCTTCTGCTCGACTGCATCTTGAGTTTTGCTCCTGCAATGCTTCTGCCACTAATCCTCTACACGCTCCATCCACGCAAATGAAGCATGTGTGAACCTCAGTGAGGCGACGGGCGGTCGCTACGTGCCTCGTGCTGTCTTGATGGATCTTGAACCAGGCAACGGTGCGTCGAATTTCGGGTGATTCCCTAGCACATCATGAGCTCATGTGTGAGTCCTCTGCAAGATTTGTTTGTTTTGCATCCCGGCTTCGGTAGTATAGTAGCTGGCCTTCAGGCGATGGCAGGGACCGGGCAGGGACCGGATTGCGATTCGCTCCGTTGCTAAGCGTTGCGTCGTTGGGCAGCCATGTCTTGCGCTCACCCCGCACACCCTCACACCCTGAACCCCCTAAGCTCTAAACCCTAAACCCCAAACCCAAAACCGTAAAACAACGCAAGAGCTGAACCCTGAACCTTCCTGTCTCTGCCAGGCACCATGGACAGTGTTCGTGCTGGACCTTTCGGCCAGCTCTTCCGTCCCGACAACTTTGTGTTTGGCCAAACTGGGGCCGGTAACAATTGGGCTAAAGACACTTGGCATCGTTAATTTTGGGTTTTAGGGTTTAGAGTTTAGGTGCGACTCTGTGAGCAGCTGAACAACGGCAATAATTGGGCTGAAGACGCTTGGCGTCGTTGGCTTTTGGGCTTAGGGTTTAGGGATTCGGGTTTAGGTTTAGGGTTTAGGGACGTCGCGTTCGCATACGTTCAAATGGTGCACATAGCACGTGGCGCTCAATTGTCGCCACAAGAAAGAAGCATTTGTCGCCTGGGACCCGAGGGACATTACACGGAAGGTGCCGAGTTGATCGACAGCGTGCTGGATGTGGTGCGATGCTGGGCATGCAAAAAACACAGCTGAAGGCTCTTTCCGAACCAAATCGCAGAACATGAGTGGTTACCACCGCAAGCATACCTCTTACCTCGTTCTACTGCCTGTACTGAACTTCTAAAGTCTGAGGACCTCAAATTCCGGGTCCTAGTGGAGCCATGAGACTGAACTTACAGTTTTTTACGACCCTCTGGTCCACGTTGAAGCAACCACAGGCCCCTTTCAGCTTAAGCAGCTTTAGGGGCTTTTAGGCATAATATGTCCAAGGGACTCTTAGGGAATGAGGTACGTTATGCCCCCCACACAACCCGTTTAAGGGATTCCAACAGGAACCTAGTTCCAAACCTTAAACGGGTTCTGCAGGACCCTGTTCAAGGGGTGAAAGAGTGAACCTACGCTCTGAGCTCGTTACGAAGGGCTTAGGCCCAGAGACTCCATTATGCCTTATTTGGCGAGGTAAATTACAATGGGGATCCGAATATGAACTAGCGTCTTTTCAGTTTGGTGAGCGCATGCAGGAAATCTGGAACATGTTGGTGAGGGTAGATATGGGAGTTTAAGTGGTGTCCGTTTGATAATCTGGGGGTGGGATACGGGGGATGGGCGAGTTGCAGACCGGGCGAGGAGTCGAGTTTAGTGTAAAGTCTATCGACCCGTGGGGAATAAGGGATATTGGGATCTCCAGCTTATGCGAGGTTTAGGGTATGCTTGAAAAGAGTCCGGGACAAGTTCAAGCAGATGAAACGATTGAACCTTCAACATCCCTGGTGTAGGGTTTAGGGTTTAGGGTTTAGGGTGTAGGGTGTAGGGTTTAGGGTTTAGGGTGTAGGGTTTAGGGTTTAGAGTTCTTCAAAATCTAAACCCCCTAAACAATCTGTCCTAAAGACCTTGGATCGCACTTTTCAGGAAAGGAGGCGGAGGGCTGCGACTGCCTGCAGGGCTTTCAGCTCTGCCACTCCCTGGGCGGAGGCACTTTGTTTGGGCTCTCGTCTCCCGAGGACCCCTGAGAAGCCCCTAAAATTCCTAAAATCCCTAAAGTCTTAAGCTGAAACCCCTAAGAAAGCCTAAAAACCCCTAAGTTCCTAAATCCGTCTTGAATTGCTGAGCTTCTTTATCCCTAAACTCCTAAACTTCTAAAACCCCTAGGAACTCCTAAACCCCCAAGCGGTCAGCCCTCATGCCCCAAACCCTCCATGCAAGTTGTAGAAAAGGTGGGGTCTGCTTCCCGGCCCTCGTGTTACAAAGGGTTCCCATTTCCACACAAAGGACCCTCGAAAGCCTGGAAATCCGCGAGTCCCTGGCTCCCTGAGCCCCTAAATCCCTTAGCCCCGAAATCCCGAACCCCTAAACCCGAAATCCCTAGAACTCCAAAACCCTAAACCTTAAGCCCTAAACCCGAAATCCCTAGAACCCCAAACTCCGTAAACCCCCAAAACCCTAAACCCTAAACCCTAAACCCGAAATCCCTAGAACCCCAAACCCTCAGCCACTGAACCCAGAAGGCAAAGCAGGTCCCAGCCTCGAACTTCCAATCTCGCAGCGGCTTTTTTCGCGCGTACTTGCGTCGCATCCAACATGTAGTCGTAAACCCTAAACCCTAAACCCTAAACCCTAAACCCTAAACCCTAAACCCTAAACCCTAAACCCTAAACCCTAAACCCTAAACCCTAAACCCTAAACCCTAAACCCTAAACCCTAAACCCTAAACGCAAGTACTTCAAGGCATCTTCCCCCTACATTTCGTCGTGCTGGCGCAGGCACGGGCGCGGGCATGGGCACGCTGCTGGTGTCGAAGGTGCGCGAGGAGACGCGGGCTGAGTTTAAAAGCGGCTGGGTAAAGGGTGTTAGGGTCAAGAGGGTTTAGGGTTTGGGGTTTTGGGTTTTGGGTTTTTGGTTTTGGTTGAGGTTCGGTACTGAAGCACAACTTCTAGCGCAAATCAGTCTGGGAAGGAGACGCTGCAGGTACGTGTATTGGGAATCCTGACTTGCCTCGGACCCCTTCATCAGTGTAGTGCCACGCAGACTTCAAAGCGCAAGTGCAGGATGGCACACGCTACATCCGAAACCCTAGAACAGGCTAGGTGAGGTGGAGCAGTAGTCTTTCTTGAGGCTGGCGTCATCATCGTTAGAGGTGTGGCCTCATGACAAGCGTTACACACGCAGGAGTACCCTGACCGAATCATGGAGACGTTCTCCGTCATTCCGAGCCCAAAAGTTTCCGACACGGTCGTGGAGCCATACAACGCTGCTTGGCTGCAAGCGCTGTGTCTACCAGTCCGTGCATGATACCACTATTGTTGTATTGGCCCGCACATGACGAAAACGCAAAAATCCGGCATGCCGGTTACATCAGTATTCACAGTGTTTGCGTGTGGGTCACATGCCGAAAGCATCGCTTCCGTATGTGCTTTTGTCGCCTTCGCTTACCACGTTTTTGAACGGCTTGCGAACGTCGTTATTCACCGTGTTTTGCATGCGAACATCGGTATTTACAGCATGCCCTGGCGAGGGAGGTATGGGCGGGGGTTGGGGGGGGAGGGGGAAGGGTAAGTGCGTGCATGTTGCTTGCAACATGCTTCTCACATGCTACTGCTTTCCGAATCTGCAACTTCATACTGCTCCCTCACCACGAAAACCCGGTAGGGCCTGACTTTGGGAAGATTGGTCTCCGCAAATTTAAATGTAGCTCGCTTTCGCTGTACTCCAGCATGATATTGCGATGCTTTTCGCTTCCGTTGCTGATAGCTCTCGTGCTTCGAGTGTCGGCCTGCATGCCGTTCTCTGACCCTTAACCCTCAAACTCCACAAGAGGTGACTGCCCGGCCTACGTCAACAAACGGCCACTTAAAACCCTTAAATCCACTGCAGAAGCCGGCGTAAACAAAAGTCCAAAGAATTAGTTCACTCTGGTGAGCAGCAACTCATGCATACTGACGTTTATTTTGGCTCCGCCACAATGCCAAACCTGCGACCGTCTATCTCCTGTCAAGCAGACGTCCCATGCGGTAAACGCACGTTTTTCCAAAGATTGAGGAGAACACAGACCACGCAACGACCCCAGTAGAAAACAACCGTCCGTCATCGCTTTGGATGTCTTTGCTCCCTTAGTGTCGGCTTTCCTGGACTGCGCATGGCCTCTCGCTGTTTGTGGTCAGCTTTGGCAGCATGGTTGACTTTGCCATTCAGTTCAATCGCCCATCTTCTGCCTTTGCGAAAAGACAAGAACATGACTTCGCCGTTCTCTGCCCTCTGTGCCGATGTGGGAGTTTACGAAAGTAAGGGACCCAAATATTAACCCCCAGAATAGTGGGATCCCCTTGTCACAAGGACACCAATAAGGTACCCCACGAATTTCGTAAACCCCCATGTGTTTCCTGGCCGCTCAAAGGCTGTGCTGAGCTTCCACCAGCTCGTGGAGAACTCCGACGAGTCTTTCTTGTTGGACAACGAGGCCTGCGCGTGGGGGCTTAGGGTTTAGAGGTTGAATATCTGGGCTCTTTTTGCGGGGGGCCGTAAGCAGAAAGGCAAGGCCTACAGGGACCATTCGCATGAAAGATATGTAGGCCGTGTCGGTATGTTCCTCAAGACTGCGCTCTGGCTTCCGGCTGCATGTCGCCACCGTTTCATGGCACAGAAGTTGTTTTGCTGCATTGCATCTTCCCTCGGATCTTTCAGGCGTTGTACGACATCTGCTTCCGCACGCTCAAATTGACGACGCCGACCTATGGCGATTTGAACCACTTGGTGTCCGCGGCCATGAGCGGCGTCACCTGCTGCCTGCGCTTCCCCGGGCAGCTGAATTGCGACCTGCGGAAGATCGCCGTGAACCTGGTGCCCTTCCCGCGCCTGCACTTCTTCATGACGGGCTTCGCCCCTCTGACGTCCCGCGGCTCGCAGCAATACCGCGCACTCACGGTTCCTGAGCTCACGCAGCAGCCGGGCCGGACTTCGGAAAGATTTGCTGCTGCAACGCTTATTTCGAAAGCAATTAAAGAAAAATATGCATGTGTGTGTATATATATAAATAGATAGATATGCACGGGCGCTCTTCCGTGCGGATTCCTACATGACTGTTCGCTTCTTCCCGAATCCGTTCACTGCTGCGGGTCCTGGAGCAAGTTGGATGGGCGCTGGCTCTGAGGGAGCGTCCGAATTCTATTGTTGTCTGTGAGATGTGTGGTTCCTTCATATTCGCGACTGTGTGGTGACTGTGCATATTTATATGGAGATATATATATATATACACATATGGATATACATACATGCATACATACATACATATGTGGACGTTAGAGCAGTCATGGTGGGGTGAAGACTTGGACTTCTTGCCCTACGTGCCCTACTTTGTGTGCCCGCTGAAAGGCAGATGTTCGACGCCAAGAACATGATGTGCGCTGCTGATCCCCGCCACGGTCGCTACCTGACGGCAGCAGCGCTCTTCCGTGGGCGAATGTCCACCAAAGAGGTACTTGGTGCAAAACTGAACCCTCAACCCTAAACCCTAAACCCTAAACCCTACTCCCTAAACCCTAAACCCTAAACCGTGTCATCTTGCTTCAGATACAAGCATGCAGGTAGACGAACAGATGCTGAACGTCCAGAACAAGAACTCCTCGTACTTCGTGGAGTGGATCCCGAACAACATCAAGGCATCCGTCTGCGAAACTTGGCTGCTTCTGTAGGGTTTAGGGTTTAGGGTTTAGGGTTTAGGGTTTAGGGTTTAGGGTTTAGGGTTTAGGGTTTAGGGTTTAGGGTTTAGGGTTTAGGGTTTAGGGTTTTGGGTTTAGGGTTTAGGGTTTAGGGTTTAGGGTTTAGGGTTTAGGGTTTAGGGTTTAGGGTTTAGGGTTTAGGGTTTAGGGTTTAGGGTTCAGTTTTTTTCTTTGGTAGTTAGGGTGGATGAGAGAACTTGCTCTACACGACCCTGTTCCCAGAGCAACCCAAAGAATCAGAGCTTGTGTAGCTTACCTCAGACGAATCCTCGCCCTGAACCCTACCAAAAAGCGAGAGACCGAGGACATCCCACCGAAAGGCCTGAAGATGGCTGTGGCCTTTGCGGGCAACTCCACCGCAATCCAGGAGAGGGAAGGATGACAAGATTCTGGGCTTGTGTAACCCTAAACCCTAAACCCTAAACCCTAAACCCTAAACCCTAAACCCTAAACCCTAAACCCTAAACCCTAAACCCTAAACCCTAAACCCTAAACCCTAAATTTAGAGAGTACTGTAAGTCTCTATGTATTGAAATATCTGTTTATCTTTATATTACTTCGACATATCTATATGGGGGGGGCGTGGTTATCCCCCCTGCTTTTCTGTGACTTCGCGACTCGTGTCATACTGGCGAGACATATTTTTACAAACGACACAATCCGTTTTAAAAACATAGCACACGCATCAGTATCACGCTACCTTGGCACCTGCACCCAAAACATGTCAACCATTCCTTTCATTTCATAGTGTTCCATTCCCCCCTCCCCCCCATCAACTGAGAGCCCGTAAGGCCCAAAACAACTCTTGCCAAACCAACACTGTTAGATTCGCGAAGAATACCCTAAACCCTAAACCCTAAACCCTAAACCCTAAACCCTAAACCCTAAACCCTAAACCCTAAACCCTAAACCCTAAACCCTAAACCCTAAACCCTAAACCCTAAACCCGAATACTTTAACGGGGGGGCAATTGGTTGGCGCACCAGTTGTCCCAGTTCCTGTTTTCATTCTCTTCCAATATTCCGGGGCAGTCAAAGTAAATGAGATCAGTTTTCCAGTTAGAAGCCGTTTGCAAAGATATTTCAATTAACATTATGACTAGCGCCGAATTTCAGATGAATGAACCCGCACGACTTTCTTGGCGATTCGGTTGTTCCAGTTCACATTACTTCCCACCCAAGCTACAACAAACAGCTGTCCTCATTTCGTTAACATCATTGGATGTCAGTTGTTTACAAATGCTATTCAATCGAGGAGGCTTTCACCCAATCCGAGTGGCTGCATTTTAAAACCCACGGCACCATACGACGAAACGGCGCTTCTTTATAAACACAACACAACACTGTTTATCAACACGGGCTCCTGAAACATGAAAACCTTCAATTCGCCAAGCCAAAATCCCGAACAACCCTAAACCCTAAACCCACCCTAAACCCTAACCCCTAACCCCTAAACCCTAAACCCTAAACCCTAAAAGCGTCCCGCATCCGCCAGACGAGGCCACCTTGCGGGCGAGGCGTCCGTTGAACCGCTAACCGGTTAACCCAATCACTTGGGCCCCATGAATATATAATAAATTATTATCTGATAGATGTAAGTAAATGCACATACTTCTGAAACAAAATATATCTAGTAGGAATTCTCAGTATGTTCATATATATATATATGTACGCAAATGGATTGGGCTAATGGTTCAAATAGGTCACTGAGGTAACAGTTTAACGGGAAATTTTGGGTGAATGGGTAAACCCATTCATAGGGCCAGAAGGATTGGGTAAACGGGTCAATGGGTTAATGGGCTAGCGGGTCACTGGGCTAATGGGCTCATAACACACAAGTTAAATTAGCAAACGTGTACGAGACCATTCTGAACACAAGAGTGCAGGAGATGTTCAAGAGGGTCGCCGAGTACTTCACGGCCATGTTCCGGCGCAAGGCCTTCTTGCACTGGTACACGGGCGAGGGCATGGATGAGATGGAGTTCACAGAGGCCGAGTCCAACATGAACGACCTCGTTTCGGAGTATCAGCAGTATCAGGACGCGACCGCGGAGGAGGAAGGGGAGTTCGACGAGGAGGAGGGCGAGTATGACGGCTGAGGCTCCTGATCGCCGGAGGTTCTCAATAATTCAGCCCTGCTTGATGCCTGAGCCATGCCGGCATCGAAGGTTTCTTTGGACTTTCAGAGACAGCAGCTCGGTGAACAGAGCCAGGGCCAAGTTTAACCTTTGCAGCTTTTCAAGAACATCTTGAAACGCGGACTGGACGTCGTGGACATCTTGCAGGCGCGCGCGAGCGCATCTGCAGTGTATAGCAGCAAGCGCCCAAAAGCAAAGCGGTGCCTCTCCCTAAGCCCTAAGCCCTAAGCCCTAAGCCCTAAGCCCTAAACCGCCTTTCATCCCCACCAGACGCCACGCGCCTCTTTCGCCGAAATGGCTTAAAGCAGAGTAGGCCCTTCTTCCCTTATAGGCCCTTGTAAACCCAAAAAGGGCACCCTTTTTGCTTCCTAGGCTACTCTTGGGTCACCCTAAACCCTATATCCAAAACCCGAAACCTGGCATCCCTTGCAGAAACCCTAAACCCTAAACCCTAAACCCTAAACCCTAAACCCTAAACCCTAAACCCTAAACCCTAAACCCTAAACCCTAAACCCTAAACCCTAGTTTGGACCAGCAAGGGTTCCTAGGGCACTCTTGGGTCTTGCTTCAGAGGGCAGTTGCATCTGGGGGCTTCTCGTGGCAGCTGAGACAGGCCATTGGCAGCTGAGGGTTTAGGGTTTAGGGTTTAGGGTTTAGGGTTTAGGGTTTAGGGTTTAGGGTTTAGGGTTTAGGGTTTAGGGTTTAGGGTTTAGGGTTTAGGGTTTCCCCAAAAGCTCAGCGCAAGCGCATACACTGATTGCTAGGGAGTTTTCTGGGGTAAAGAAGGTTTCTCCTGCATGAACTTTCGCAGATTAGGGTACATCCGGGGCAGCCTTCGTTTTCGGAAATGACCCTATTGACTTGCCATGGCCCAAGTGCTTGACACTCACAGTTTGCTATAGCCCCAAACTTCCAGCGTCCGTTGCAGTCATGCGCGAGCTCGTGCACATCCAGGGAGGACAGAGCTTGACGAGGGTTTGGTAAAGATGAAGCTAAACCCTAAACCCTAAACCCTAAACCCTAAACCCTAAACCCTAAACCCTAACCCTAGACTCTAAGCCCTAAACCCGAAACCCTAAACCCTAAACCCTAGACTTGTGAGAAGAAAAAGCAGACCAGTTGCCCACACCCAAACTGCAAGCCAGGCTGTTGCATCGGCTACTAAGTTGGGGGGCTGCAAGATATCTCACAGTCGTTGTTTAGGGGTTTAGGGTTTGGCCTGCCACGCGCCCTCCACTCCATCCAATATTCATATTCCGGAAACTGTGATAAGAGTTCTGGTTGAAGGAATATCCCACAATCAAGTAAGCCTGACGCTCTTCTTCCTGCCGGAAAGCGCCTACGGGTCCGGGTTGCTGGCAGACAAGTTGCACAATTACACACAGCACACATGGGAGTTTACGATAATACGGGACCCCGAATATAGACCCCCACATAGTAGGACCCCTTATACGAAGGACCCCAATAAGGTACGCCTCAGTCCTGACCCTGAACCCTAAATCCTAAACTAAACCCTCAACTAAACCTTAAACCCCCGCACATGTGCAGGGCAAAATTTGCGCACATGTGCAGGACAATTCTCCTCATGCCTACGGGCCTAGGTTGCCGGCAAACCCTAAACCCTAAACCCTAAGCCCTAAACCCTAAGCCCTAAACCCTAAACCCTAAACCCTAAACCCTAAACCCTAAACCCTAAACCCTAAACCCTAAACCCTAAACCCTAAACCCTAAACCCTAAACCCTAAACCCTAAACCCTAAATACGGGCCTAGGTTGCTGGCAGTCAAATTTCATGTGCAGGACAATGCGGAAACCAGATCGGTGCCAAGTTCTGGGAAGTCGTCGCCCCAGGACATCCATGGATGTAGCTAGGGTTTAGGGTGTAGGGTGTAGGGTTTAGGGTGTAGGGTTTAGGGTTTAGGGTGTAGGGTTTAGGGTTTAGGGTTTAGGGTTCAGGGGCACGCAGCCCAGAATTTCGTGTCTCCCACATCATCACATAACTTGCGGCCGAGGTCATCGCCGACGAGCATGGCATTGACCCTACAGGCGGGCCGTGCTGGCTGTTCCCGGGCCTCTTGAGGTCTTCGTTGCAGCTGTGTGTGTTCAAGGTTTGGGGGTTTAGGGTTGGGGCATGTTTGTGGTTTAGGGTTTAGGGTTTAGGGTATAGGGTTTAGGGTTTAGGGTTTAGGGTTTAGGGGTGGTTGGGATTGCAAGGACTTCAAAGGGGGTGGTGGTCCGAAGTGCTCTTGAAGTGCCGACCGCCCTTTGCCCACAGGCACCTATCACGGGGACTCTGACCTCCAGCTTGAAAGGACCCTTCTTGCTCCAGCCGCTGGGGTAGAGGGTTGTGGGACGTTTGCAACCAGATGTCGTAGAAGTGAGTTTAGGGCCTTTAGAGTTGAAGGTTTAGGGTTTAGGTAGAGAACTTGAAAGATCTGGAGAGGATCAACGTGTACTTCAACGAGGCGAGCGGCTTCCGCTGGACTGCATCTTGAGTTTTGCTCCTGCCGTGCTTCTGCCCCTAATCCTCCACAGGGCTCCATCTACAAACGCGCACACACACACACACACAAACGCAAGCACGTGTGGTACTTCAGTGAGGCGACGGGCGGTCGCTACGTGCCTCGTGCCGTCTTGATGGACCTTGAACCAGGCAACGCTGCGTCAAATGTTGGACGGGTGAATTCCTAGCACATCATGAGCTCACGCGTGAGTCCTGAACCCTATTTTAAACCCTAAACCCTAAGAGCTCATGAGTGAGTCCTCTGCAAGTTTTGTTTGCTTTGCATCCCGGCTTCGGTACTATTGCATCTGGCCTTCAGGCGCTGGCAGGGGATCGGACTGCACTTAACATCACTTAACTACGGAGCATCTTTTTTGTGTCATCTCACACGCTCCTCAAGCCCTGAACCCTGAACCCTAAACCCTAAACCCTAAACCCTAAGGCACCATGGACAGCGTTCGTGCTGGACCTTTCGGCCAGCTCTTCCGCCCCGACAACTTTGTCTTTGGGCAAACTGGGGCCGGAAACAATTGGGCTAAAGACACTTGGCATCGTTAATTTTGGGTTTTAGGGTTTAGGGTTTAGGTGCGACTCTGTGAGCAGCTGAACAACGGCAATAATTGGGCTAAAGACGCTTGGCGTCGTTGGCTTTTGGGCTTAGGGTTTAGGGATTCGGGTTTAGGTTTAGGGTTTAGGGACGTCGCGTTCGCATACGTTCAAATGGTGCACATAGCACGTGGCGCTCAATTGTCGCCACAAGAAAGAAGCATTTGTCGCCTGGGACCCGAGGGACATTACACGGAAGGTGCCGAGTTGATCGACAGCGTGCTGGATGTGGTGCGATGCTGGGCATGCATTGTTATAGCCTGAATGCTCCGAGTCTATTTGAACCAAATCAAAAAGCTTAAGTGGTTGTGACCATAAGCAAACCTAAACTTAGCTAGTTCTGCTTCTGGTCCTGAACTTCTCAAAGCCTAAGGACCCTAAGCATCCTCCTAAACTCTAGATCCGAAAATCGCCGTGAGACAGAACTTCCCGTTCTGCGACCCCTTGGTCTATCTTGAAGCGGCCATAAACCCCTTCTCAGCTTTGGCAGCTACAGGGCATCTAGGCATATGTATGTCCAAAAAGGCCCTCTTTGTTCCTTTAGTTCGTATACAATTGATAGGGGCCACGAACCCGAATGCAGACACGTGTCACGTACGCGACAAGCATAAGCCATAATAAGCAACACGACTTCGGAGTCAGCGTGTCTATTATTATTTCTTTTTTCTGCTCAGTCTCTCTGCCTCTGTCTCCGTCTCTCTGTCTCTGACTCTGTTTCTGTCTTTGTCTCTGTTCCTGTCTCTGTCTCTGTCTCTGTCTCTGTCTCTGTCTCTGTCTCTGTCTCTGTCTCTGTCTCTGTCTCTGTCTCTGTCTCTGTCTCTGTCTCTCTCCCTTTCATTTATTCATGTATTCCAGTAGTTGTCTCTTTCAAAACCTCCAGCAGTTTCTCATTATATGTGGCTTCATGATATCTTTACATCTTTTTTCGTTAGGCTTTTCTTTTGATGGCGCTAGTTGCTGGGTTCTCGCTCTTTTATTCGGGTAGCGCATGGATACAAAGGTGAGACTCTGAAGGCGGATTCGCGTGAATATAGGTTTCCTGGAACATGCTGGCGAGTGTACATCTTGGGTGTCCTCTTCGACTTTTGGGATACTAGTTGGGATGTTCCCTGGAATAGGTATGGGCCATATCCACCTTTTTGAGGGAGGCTCTAACAATGTATTCGTTAAGCCCCTAAAGCCCGAAGATACTAAGCCCTGAAGCACTAAATTTCCAAGAACCCCCTAAAGCCCTCAAGCCTTCGGAATCCCCAGACCCAAAACCCTTCAAACCCTTCAAACCCAAAACCCCAAAACCCCAAAGCCCCAAAGCCCCAAAACCCCTAAACCCCCCAAAAGACCGTAGATCGCACCAAGGAAAGGAGGCGGAGGGCTGCGACTGCCTGCAGGGCTTTCAGCTCTGCCACTCGCTGGGCGGAGGTGCTTGTAGGGCTCCCGAATTCCTTTTTTAAGGATTTAGGAATTTAGGATTTAGGATTTAGGATTTAGGGTTTAGGGTTTAGGGTTTAGGGTTTAGGGTTTAGGGTTTAGGGTTTAGGGTTTAGGGTGTAGGATTTAGGGTTTAGGGTTTAGGGTTTAGGGTTTAGGGTTTAGGGTTTAGGGTTTAGGCTTAAACTCCTCTCCAAAACCCCAAATCCCTCAAGCCCTAAACCCTAAAATCCTCTGAAGCCCTAAATACTAAAATGCCTAAACCCCTAAAACCCTGAACCTTCCCCAAGCCTCAACCCCCAAACCCAGGGCCCTGGAGCCTCAAACCCTAAACCCTAAACCCCCAAGCTCATGATCGACTGGCAAAGCAGATATTGACCAGCTTCACTTCCTAGTGTGTATACGTCGCATCCCACATGTCATCGTATTTTCCCTAGACCCTAACCCCTAAACCCTAAACCCAAGTACTCTATGGTGCAGGCACGGGCGCGGGCATGGGCACGCTGCTGGTGTCGAAGGTGCGCGAGGAGCGGGGTCAACTCAAACGCTTTACAAGCTTTAGGGTTATAAGGGTTAAGGGTTGAGGTTTTAGGGTTGGGGAAGGGGATGCAGTATGTATTCGGAATCCTGACTTGCCTCGGACCCCTTCATCAGCTCAGCACCACGTAGACATTTTGACGCTGCTCGCAAGGTGACGCACGCGGAGAGCCCCAGACCCTCAACTCCACAACTCCTTAGCCCTCAACTTCACAACTCCTTAGGGGTGCATGGCAAGCTTTCCATGCAGAACCACCCCTGGCGTCGCGACATGCTGTACGCAGGAGTACCCTGACAGAATCATGGAGACATTCTCCGTCATCCCGAGCCCAAAAGTCTCCGACACGGTCGTGGAGCCATACAACGCTGCTTGGCTTTGTGCTGCGTGTGCCCGTCCGCGAGTCTTCCTATTATGGTCCTTATTCTCTGCTTTTATAGTGCAGCTGTCACTTAGCATTATGTCAGTACCAGTACAGCGTCGTTTCGTTTTGGTGTTGTTGGTTATCTCTTCGTAGTCTTGTTACTGTGATTACGCTTGGTCAATCGCCGTCTGCCTTTGCCAAGAAGGCAAGAAGAGGCCTTTGCTGGTCTGTGGTCCTGAAGCCTCATCCCCTAAACCCCAAGCCTTACACCCTGAACCCCCCTTAACCCTAACCCATAAAACCCAAACCCTGTGTCCTGTGTGCTGCTGGGTTTCTTCCTGGCCGCTCAAAGGCTGTGCTGAGCTTCCACCAGCTCGTGGAGAACTCCGACGAGTCTTTCTTGTTGGACAACGAGGACTGCACGCGGGGTTTAGGGTTTAGAGGTTGAATCTGTGGGCTCTCTTGGGTTTGGCGCAAGAAGAAGGCTCTGCATAGCAGAAGCCCTACGGCGGGGCCATACTTTACAGAGAGAGAGAGAGAGAGCAAGCATGGCGCCACAGTTTAAAGGTGCTCAAGTTTTTCCCCGTGTCTGACCCTTCAGGCATTGTACGACATCTGCTTCCGCACGCTCAAACTGACGACGCCGACCTATGGCGATTTGAACCACTTGGTGTCCGCGGCCATGAGCGGCGTCACCTGCTGCCTGCGCTTCCCCGGGCAGCTGAATTGCGACCTGCGGAAGATCGCCGTGAACCTGGTGCCCTTCCCGCGACTGCACTTCTTCATGACGGGCTTCGCCCCTCTGACGTCCCGCGGCTCGCAGCAATACCGGGCCCTCACGGTTCCTGAGCTTACGCAGCAGCCGGGCCAGGCTTTCAGAAAGGTTTTCTTACTGCAACGATCTCTTCTGTGCGGATTCCTTTCGTGACTGTTCGCCCTAAGCCTGAAACCCTAAACCCGAAACAAAAAATTGCTCAAACTCTACCACGGATCATGTAGAGGCGTTGGTTCTGCAGTCTCGGAATTCTACTTGAAGGCCCATGGTAGGTAGGTAGGTAGGTAGTTTTGAAGTAGGGTTAAAAACACGCAAACATGCATTATAGCCTTGCTTGAGGTTCTTGTCGCCCCACTTTTGTTGCCTTCAAGTACTGTTGTCGATGAGTGCATCAGGATGGTTTCACAACGTTCTGCATAAATATTGGTGATTGTATATGTATATGCCGGGTGTTCTTTTGGGACACTATGCTCGCCCACTGATTGACAATCTCTCCGTCCTCCGCATTTGATATGGTGTTCCTGTTAGTACACATGTGAGCTGTCTCACTTTTGCCTCACTTTCATATGATCCGCGACCTCGAGTCCGCATAACTACATAGAAATTCAAACCCTGCCTTTGAATGATGTCAAGAAACCTCCTTTTGGGGATACTAGATTTACAAAGGGTAGTTAATAATGTTGTGACTCTAGCAACACACCGCGTTGTCCCCCTTGTCCTGCTTTCGTTCTTGAGTTCTGCATGTGGAGTGAAGACGTGGTCATCTTGCTTTACTTTTTCCAAACTTCACACGTCTTAAAAGGCAGATGTTTGACGCCAAGAACATGATGTGCGCTGCTGATCCCCGCCACGGCCGCTACCTGACGGCAGCAGCGCTCTTCCGTGGACGGATGTCCACCAAGGAGGTAGACGAACAGATGCTGAATGTCCAGAACAAGAACTCATCCTACTTCGTGGAGTGGATCCCGAACAACATCAAGGCATCCGTCTGCGAAACTTGGCTGCTCTTGCAGGGTTTTTTCTTTGGTAGTTAGGGTGGATGACAGAGCTTGCTCTGCACCACCCTGTTCAAGCACCATACCAGCCCAAAAAATTAGAGCTTGTGTACTTTACCTCAGAATCCGATCAGGGGTGTCATTGCAATAAGCTCTTGAACCCTAAACCCTGAACCCGCTAGACTTACAGAGGAGGGTTGGTCGAATCCTAGCCCTGAACCCTGCAAAAAGCGAAGCGAAGGACATCCCTCCGAAAGGCCTGAAGATGGCTGTGGCCTTTGCGGGCAACTCCACCGCAATCCAGGAGAGGAAAGGATGAGAAGTAGTCTTTGGACAATGTCTAAAAGACGTAATTTATGAGAGAGAGAGAGAGATAGAGCGTGAGAGAGAGTGAGAGGGAGTGGAAGAGCAAACGTGTATTCAAGACCATTCTGAACACAAGAGTGCAGGAGATGTTCAAGAGGGTCGCCGAGTACTTCACGGCCATGTTCCGGCGCAAGGCCTTCTTGCACTGGTACACGGGCGAGGGCATGGATGAGATGGAGTTCACAGAGGCCGAGTCCAACATGAACGACCTCGTTTCGGAGTATCAGCAGTATCAGGACGCGACCGCGGAGGAGGAAGGGGAGTTCGACGAGGAGGAGGGCGAGTATGACGGCTGAGACTCCTGATCGCCGGAGGTTCTCAATAATTCAGCCCTGCTTGATGCCTGAGCCATGCCGGCATCGAAGGTTTCTTTGGACTTTCAGAGACAGCAGCTCGGTGAACAGAGCCAGGGCCAAGTTTAACCTTTGCTGTTTTCAAGAACATCTTGAAACGCGGACTGGACATCGAGGACATCTTGCAGGCGCGCGCGAGCGCATCTGCAGTGTATAGCAGCAAGCGCCCAAAAGCAAAGCGGTGCCTCGGGCCTCTGCGGTTGCCAGGAAGGGGTCTGGTTTTAAGGAGCTGCACCTTTTTCGTCCCCAGTTACCCCTGAAATGGCTTGGGCAACTGACAAGGCCGCAGATTTGCTTCAGAAGGCAATTGCATGTGGAGCCTCCTGTGGCAGATGCAAGAGGCCATGGCAGCCGTACTCTCAGAGTAAGCAACACAGAGTTCCTAGGACCCAGAGTAGGCCCTGATTCCCTGTTTCTGGGGTTTGGGTTCCCTTATGAGCCCCTTGAAACCAAAAAGGGTCTCCCTTTCATTCCTGGGTTACTCCTGGGTCTAGTGTTGACCCCAAGCTACGCGGCTCTATCATCGGCTTACAAACAACCCTAAACCCTAAACCTCAAACCCTAAACCCCTCAACCCCCAACTGTTTTGGGCACCTGCTGCCGGCAGCGCGGGCGCACCATGTGGCGCAGAGTGACGGATTTGAGGGTCCGAAGGTTTCAGGCTGGTTTCGCGAGTTTTAATTGGTTTAGGTGGGGGGGTTAGAAGGCTCATGGTAGCTAGGGCTTAGGTTTAGGGGCTCAGAGTTGAGGATGTTCGTTAAAGGTGCAGGGCTTCATGAGGAATTCGGTGATTCCTTAATAGGGTTAGATGGCGGGGAGATGGAGGAATTCCTCAACTCCCCACTATGAACAAGGAAGGCAACGCCTTGGCCATGCCACAATTTTTCACCCAGTCCTCCTGAGGACATGAATGTGAAGAACATAAAATAATATACTACACAGATGTAAAATAATATGGCTTCTTTTAAATGGATTATCTTTGTGACTATTTAGACCCGTGCATTGCTGGCTTTTCGCTTGGCACTGCAGAAAACATTGACGCGCTGCCATGGGTTCATCCAGTATTCCTGCTTCACACCAACAGCCATCCCTTGCATGGACGTATTTAAGGCGTTTAGAGTTTAGGGTGTTTAGGGTTTAGGGAGACATGCGCAGGGGGGTGGATGTTGTCTTTTCCAGTTGGCTTTATGGTTGCCCGTTTGTCTCATGTGCAGGCACGTGTGACAGTGTCCGTACATGTGACAGCACGTCGCACGTCTCCAAGAACTTCATGCGAACGCCAGGTGCCGCAACTGGGAGGAACAAGGAGCGCGGACGGGTCCTTGTTTTCAGGAAAAAAAGAAGTGCCTTCGGTCGTCCTTGTGGGCACATGTACACAGTCAGACAATGTCATGCGTCTTCCCTCAGATATCGATGCGCATTCCTCATGTTCAAGGTTGATTTAGCGAAGAAGACGTATGCTGCAGGGATTGATACTGGTGACTTATCCGGAAGGTCCTTGGACAAAACCCTCTGCTTCCTAACTTTCGTTATGCGCAAGGATTTGGTTGATGATGGAAGGGGGTGGGAAGGGTCCGGCCGTGGCCGCGGGAGCAGCAGGCGGGGTTTAGGGTTCAGGTTTAGGGTTTAGGGTTTAGGGATTATGGGTTTAGGGGTTCATGGGTTTATGTGTTTAGGGTTTAGGGTTTAGGGTTTAGGGCTGGGCAATGCGGTTTGTTCGAAGGAGACGTGCTGGCCTTATCGGTCTGCTCCTCGAGCGTGGGGCTCTCAATGCCCACCACACCCGCACATGCCGACTGTCCATGGGGTTTAGGGTTTAGGGTTTCGGGTTTAGGGTTTAGGGTTATACGCAAAGGTTCATGGGTACTTACAACTCCAAATTGTCAGTCTACTTGTAACCTATTTAGGGGACTTAGGGGGGCCTATAAGTACAGTTCAGTTTTCATTGGGGTTAGAATTATAAGTGCCCTGAACCTCCAAGTAGGGTTTAGGGCGGTAGCCAGTACGAAGCATCCATTCACTCGGGTAGCTAGTACAGGTCCACACTGTCGGCGCCGGGAAGCATCGACGCTGGCGTGGGGTCCTCGGGGCCGATTGCACTCGCTTGGGGTTCGGTGACATGCATCCCAACATTCTGGGAGTCGACTTTGGAACACTAAGATTGTACAGTTGTACCCTTAGGGAATATCCATATGAGAAGTGTGTGAAGGGCCACTATGAGACAGCCCCAAATCATGACTTTTGTTCCTACGTTGGAGCTGGTCGTAGACATGTTCTGTGTCCTCTGTAGCCCAGAGGCTCATGGTGCCACGCGGCACTTCCTTAGTCTAGGCCTGCTAAGTACTTTGCATAAGTCCCAATGTGGACTTGGTGCCTTCATTCTACCACTCTTCTGCTTGGCTGCGCCCCCCTGATTTGCTCATACCGCTTGAGCTATGATGCTGACGAGCTGCAGCCCACGGTGGACTTCAAGTTCATGACCGAGGACACGAGCTACACCGGGCGCAGCAAGACCATCCTCCGCTCGGTCTCTCAATGGGTTTGGAACGATCGGTCTGAAGGCAAGGTCAAGGAGGAGATTGTGGAAGGGCACACGTGTCAAAACTTTGGGCGCCGAGAAGAGACGTACTACGCTTCCAGCTTTTGCTACTGGGCTCCCGAGATTCCTGACGAGCCGAGGTCAGACCCGATGCTGGTGTGGCTTGGGGGTGCTGAGCCTTCAGGTGCGCGCCTTCACTCTGCTTACGGCGTCAGCCAAGGCAAGTGCATAAAGGCCACGGTCTGCCACAACAACGCTCAGTCGAAGGACGGAGAAGTGACCATGTCTTCTTGGGATCATCCGGAAGAAGTGCCGCTGCCCGCAGGCTGCGTTGGTGAGAACGAGATCTTGCGGACGTGTGAGGCGACCCTGGCGAAGAACAACCCGGAGCTGAAGGCGAAGGTGGATAGCTGCAGGGATGTCGAGCATCGACACACCAGAGCAGCGGATGCCCTCGAGGCATGCTTGGCTGCTCTGCGGGATTTGCCCAACGAGATTCACGACCGAATGCCGGAGAAGATCGCCGACCAGAGGAGCCAGATGCGCCAGAAGGAATCGAAAGTATCGAGATCACGGAATCTGGGTCCTTGTTGGTTAAGTTATGAGTTTTTACGTTTTCTGTCATCTTAAATTCCCAAAAGAAGGAATAAGAATGGCATTTTTTGGTATGACCCCAAGAATGAAGCAGGAATGAGGAGAGCTGGGCAAGGTCAAACATGTACTCTCAGTGTGACGGCTTCAGCACGCGCTCCCATCCATGGTGCTCGCGGGGCGGGGAGGAGGGCGACGACGACGAGTACGAACGCTGCCAGGAGTGCTATCGTGCGCACACCAGCCTCGACTTCAAGGAGCGTCGCACGAGAGAAGCAGAAAGTGAATTCCGAGAAGCGGAAGAGCAGCTCCAGTCGCTTCAGTCGCATCTGCGCAGGTTAGAGGAGCAGCTCAGAAGCAACCAGGCAAAGGAACCCTCTTTGACGCAGGCCAAGCAGTCCATGGACCAGGAGTGGTTGCCGCAGAAGGAGGAGTGCCATGCGGCATTTCAAGACTTTGAAGGGAAGGAGCAACACTTCATTCCGGAGTGTGCCCGGGGCAGGTATGATGAATCCTGCGAGAAGTCCTGCTTAGAGTCCCAGCGTGCAGGCAGGGGTGGGTGTGGGGTCGTCGAAGGCAACGAACACGGGACAGCACATGTCCGCGGTGGCATCAAGGTGCCGTGTGCCCCGCCTCAGCCTTCCTGGATCTTGGGGTCTCCAAAGTATGCCAATCCAGAATCCGCGGAGGAGCAGTGCCAGAGGATCTTGCAAGTCCAGCAGCCACAGTTTGCACAGAGCATCGTGAAGGCAGGCTGGCTCGAGAAGCAAGGCAGCATGTACCGCTGGAGCAGGCACTTCGCCGTGTTCGAGTCTTCTGATGCAGTTCGCTCGGCGGCTCTTCGTTTGTTCAAGGATGACCCCTCTACCGATGACAAAGTCGCAACCTCCGCACAGGCGATCTTTCTTTGGGATGCCAAGAACGTGGAGGCCAAGGACGGCAAAGCGTACAGGTTCAAGAATGGAGTCAAGTGCTTCAAGCTCCACCACTTCTACACGACGTACCCATTCTGCATTAAAGAAGCTGCGGACCCATCGGCTGAACAAGCTGAGTGGATGAACTTGATCAGCTCCAGCATGAACTTTTCAGACTGGAAGTAGACAACTGCTCAGCCTGGAGTAAATGAGAGAAGAGGAACAGCAGTCGTAGTAGTAGTAGTAGTAGTAGTAGTAGTAGTAGTAGTAGTAGTAGTAGTAGTAGTAGTAGTAGTAGTAGTAGTAGTAGTAGTAGTAGTAGTAGTAGCAGTAGTAGTAGTAGTAGTAGTAGTAGTAGTAGTAGTAGTAGTAGTAGTAGTAGTAGTAGTAGTAGTAGTAGTAGTAGTAGTAGTAGTAGTAGTAGTAGTAGTAGTAGTAGTAGTAGTAGTAGTAGTAGTAGTAGTAGTAGTAGTAGTAGTAGTAATAGTGGCAGTAGTAGCAGCAGTAGCAGCAGTAGTAGTAGTAGTAGTAGTAGTAGTAGTAGTAGTAGTAGTAGTAGTAGTAGTAGTAGTAGTAGTAGTAGTAGCAGCAGCAGCAGCGTTTGCGAGCATGTGCCTTTTCTTCTTCGAGCTGTGTGCAGGCTACTCCGCTGTTGCATCATCCAGCATGTTGCGTCTGTTGAAGATCATCATGGGTTTAGGGTTTAGGGTTTCGGGTTTAGGGTTTAGGGTTTAGGGTGAATCTCTAGGTCCCTTGTAAGGGGCCCTCCTTTAGTCCCTTGAAGACTCCTCGACCCTAAACCCTAAACCCTAAACCCTAAACCCTAAACCCTAAACCCTAAACCCTAAACCCTAAACCCTAAACCCTAAACCCTAAACCCTAAACCTTGTAGGCCCTTGACTCCTGCACCCTGAATCACCTGCAAACCCCGAAGATCCACCATGGAGGCCTTGGTGGCATCATCGAGCAGAAGACCGAGGTGACATCCTTGTGTGGCGTTTAGGGTTTGGGGTTCAGGGCTAAGGGTATAGGGTACAGTATAGGGTTTAGGGTTTTGGGATTGTGTACGGTGTAGGGGGTATGAGTTTAAGGTTCCGCCTCCTGGGTTTGGGGCTCCGGGCCTATACAGGTAGTTCTAGGGTTTCGGCTCGGAGCAGCTCTCTGCGTTGTCCTTTTTGGGGCCAACTAAGCCCTGCAACCCCCAAATGCCACGCCCTTCCCCTGAACACCTAACATGTCCACTCCAAAACCTTCTTCGAAGCCCTGAACCCCGAAGCCCCGAGCCCGGAATCCTGAAGCCCTTGAGCCTTGGAATGTTCGCCCTTATACTGACAGTCCTTAATAGGGATTATTTCAGGGGGCACGATTATCCCTCTTAAGGACTGTTAGGGTTCAGGGGGAACATCCCAACCTAAGCCCTAAAAAGGTGGTGGCGCTGAACCTGCTCCCTAGCAAGCAGTGGGAAGTCATCACCCGCACGGCTGCAGGAGGGGAGGGGGAAGCTATGGGGGTTTTTGTGCACAGAGCTTTGGTTTTGTTTGGAAATTAGGTGTTCTCAATCTTGCTTGTGAATGCGTAACACAAGAGGATGTACAGATTTTGCAGTATGGTTTCTAGAGGGAGTCTAAAGAGGAGTTGGGGAGCGCTAAGAGGCAGAGGAGGGCTTGCAGGCTGTTGCTATCTCTAGCGCGTTCCCCACATAGCTCGGTCGTTATGACTACAGGCTGGACGACCCCGGTGGTAGTTCAAGAGGGGTCCCGGAAGTCTCCTCCTTTCTCCCGGCCGAGCTTCTGTTGTAGCTGTTGCAATGAGGGTTCAAGGAAGAATCCCATCGACTTTGTTTTTGGGGAGGTTTAGGGTTCAGGTTCCAAGTTTGAGGCTATGAAAAGCTCGAGTTTTGGTCCCCTCCCCCTCTCCCCCCCATGGTCCCAAACCTGTGCCAGGTGAGGAGAAGCGCACAGTGGCCGACTTTGTGATCAACGCGGCGGGCCTGTGGTGTGACGTGTCGAGCAGAGGTGTCAAAGAGTGAGCCCGAACCCGAACCCCCCAAGGCTTCGGTCCTGCACCTTGAAAGATTGTTCGGCACCCCCGCCCTTAAGGCCACAACCCCCTGTTGACATATCTGTACAGTCCAAAGCATGTGGACAGCGAAGTTCGCGGTTGTCATATGCACAATTGCATTGCTCGCTCAGGCCTTCAAAAGGGCCTTTCGATGTCTGTAGCTTGTTTATCAACGCATGGGGTTCCGTTGTTTCTGGACAGCAATGCTACCTCCTGCGCCCTCAACTCTGCACCCTAACCCCTAAACCCTAAACCCTAAACCCTAAACCCTAAACCCTAAACCCTAAACCCTAAACCCTAAACCCTAAACCCTAAACCCTAAACCCTAAACCCTAAACCCTAAAAAACCCTAAACCCTGAAAAACCCCCAGAACCGCTGAGGTGACAAAGTCGGCGCCATGGCTGGTGTTCGCGTGCCCTCGGCCGTGCTACAGCACCAGTGCCTCGTCGCAGTAGGCCCTTGAGGGTACCCTACATAATCCCGAATAAGGGTATTCTATATGTATATATATATATAAACCCTGAATAAGGGTATTCTATATATATGTATATATATATAAACCCTTATTGAGGGTATTGTCGGATTTGGGCTGAAAAGAGTATGGTATGGGGCTTAGGGTTTCATACACTTTCCTTTCTTGAGGGGAGGCCGGGGTGGGGAGAGGGGGGGGTTAGGGCTCAGGATGCTGCGTCCATACTTGCATATTGGTTTGCACATGCCTGCAAGTTTGCACTGCTTTTCAAGACAGCATGAAGGTTCATGATCCTCGTTCGTGAGGTCTGGCGGTGGGCACAGAGTGTTCTTTTCTGCAGGTTACCTCTGGTCGATTGGCTTGCACCTGAGGTACTGCATTACAGAGGCCATCCCGGAAGTGAAGGACCACGCAGTTGTGGGAATTACAGGGTTCTGTGGACTTGGTTTGAGGCGGCCTTGCTCCTTGTGTCCTATTGCCCTTGAGGAGTCTGTACGTGCAGTGGCACATGGCAAGCTGCTTTTTTGTTGTTGGCAGAGGGCTGGTGATGTGTTCTGGGCCCTGCGCTGGCAGGAATATCATGACAAGCATGGTCACCAGCTACCTGTGCTCCGGGATTTGAAGGGCTCCTTCTACTTGCGAGACGAGCGGGATGGCATTCTGCACCTCGGATTGCATAGCAAGAGCCAATGTTCGTGTGTCCTGGAGTTTACATTTCTTTTAGGGTCATTGAGGGTTCGGGGCCCGGGTTGTGGGGCACACGGTTTAGGTCTTAGGGGGCCGTCTCATCCCGGCAGGCATTTAGGATGGGATTCCTTGTTCTTTGTCTCCCACTGCTGCCTAGCCCCGCTGTGGAAGTTTGTTAGCTGGCCTCTCTTTGCTTCGGCAAGTCTCGAAGACCCGGGCCCCTACTTGGAGGTTTATGGTACTTGTTGACCAATTAAACATGTACTTTTCACCATATTAGGGCACTTAAGGGGCTTATAAGTACAGTGTTGCGAGGAGAGGGGTGAGGGGAGATGCGAAGGCCGTGCACGTTTAAGGGACATTGTGCTCATGCAAGATGACCTTACAGTACTACCATCGTGAAAAGATTGCGGTTAACAGATTCCGCGCCTGGGAAAACAGTTTAACCGGCGATAGCTATGTGCGTGCATCCGCACGTTTCCAGCGTCACAAACAATGCGATGTTTGAAAGATAAGGTGCTGTGTTAGCTGTACGAGACAATACGGAAGCGTGGGCAGACCGCTGAACGCCAAATACGCCAAAAGACTCAGCAACAAAGATACGGTTGGCCCTGATATTTCCCTCAACCGAAAAGGGTTTAGGGTTTAGGGTTTAGGGAAATGCTCTTCCTCAGTTCAGACATGACTCCCTTCTAAAACAGTTCGTTTGAGCGTGACCTCTTCGGGTGGGCTGTTGGCCTTTTAGGGTTTAGGGTTTAGGGTTTAGGGTGTAGGGTGTTTGTTAAAGCATGCTCCGGCAAGGAGCGGCTTGCTGTTGGCATTTTAAGAAGGGCCTGACATCATAACCAACCATGGGGTCGAAGCCGTTGTCCGAGCAGGGAAAGCCTTAGAAGAGCACAAAATGCGCGAACTCTAAGACGTTAAGCCCTTCACGTCCCAAAACTTAAAAAAATGAAGCGGAGCGCTGGCTCGGCTTCTCCAGCCACTCGCATACCTGCCGACTTTGCAGAGAGTGCGGGGCCCAATAGTCGGATCAAGCTGACATGTCAAAATATGTTTGGTTTTAAGGTTTCGGGTTGAAGGTTTATACAAAATATGTTTGGTTTTAAGGATTAGAGTTTAAGGTTTATACAAAATATGTTTGGTTTTAAGGTTTAGGGTTTTAAGGTTTATACTTTAAGAACAGTCTGGAACCAACCTTCACAAAGCAGAATCTCACGCTCCGATCAGCTCTTCAACCAGATCCGTGTCTGGGAGTTTGTCGACATCTCGCCTCAAGAAACCCTTTGAAACCCTAAGGCTGTTCCAGATCTTCCTTTCAAGAAAACCTTGGTAAAACCCGTTTGTTCTCGAGACGTGACCAAGGTTTTCCCGATATGAGGTGTAGAGAACGCCTAGAGGCGAGAAGTCCGCCGTGTGTTTTTACCAAGGTTGTCTGGCGCTGGGGTGTCCAAAACCTTGGCTTTATCAAAATTTTGTTGGAAGTGAGATGTCCAAAAGCCCTGGTATTACCAGAGCCGTCCCGAAGTGAGGTGTGGACAACTAGCTGAAACCCAGAGTGTTCGAAGAAGCCTATCGAAAACAAAGCATCAAAAAAATCAAGAAGCCGATGGATGCTCAAGCGATGTCAGTTCCGCATGCGCCAAGCGCCACACTTTTTTCCGGAGGTGCAGGCGTTCGGATTTCACCAGGTTGGTGTTTGGGAATCCTTCGAATCCGTGCCTTCTGCACACCCGCTGCCTTTGCGGGCAGCTTTCTGCCGGAAATGCTAAACTGCTGTTGCTTTTGCACTGGTCTTGCACTGTTTGGGGGTCAACGCTGACATGATATTATATTTCAATATCGTCCTAGTGTATGTGTACCTAGGTAGGCCCCTGCCATATTTCGTATCTTCCCTTATTGGGTTTAAGAGGATCATATTTAGGAATATGTTTCGGAGGGTTTTGAGGCCATCCTAGATGCGTGTGTTAGAGACATTCATGTTTCGATGTTGTTTTAGCTGCCTGGATGGGCGAGGCTTGCTCCGAAACCGGCACGGCAGCGATGGCGCTCCCCCTAGAGGGGGGACCGCAGTGGAGGCTGAGGGTTTAGGGTTTAGGGTTTAGGGTTTAGGGTTTAGGGGTTAGGGGTTAGGGTTTAGGGTTTAGGTTTAGGGTTTCGTGAGTGCAAAGCTCCCTAAACCTCATGCGCTTGCACTTCGTCATCATCTTACCATGTCCCTGAAACACAGCCTGGAGTCCTAGAAAGAGCTCCGCAACTCTTACGTTTCTGAATGCGAAGGCTGCGGTCCCAAAAGGAATCCCTGTGCACCCACATGTTGTGCAGTTGTGCTTCGTGAAGAAACGGCGCGGCATTGTCGTCGAGAGACTTCATGTGACGGACGAATGGAGAGGCGTCTTATCAGATGCTCTGACGAGTGGCTGCGACCTCAGCCTTCTTCATTCTGATCGACTCGCTGAGTGGCTCAAAGCCCATGTCAAGAAGTTTGTTTTGCGAGTGCTTGCTGCTACGAAGCGTGCAAGCTTTTTTTGTCGCAGCAACTCGTGTGATTCAGCAGCTGCCCAGCTGGAGCCAGCTGCTCAGAGTCGTCACGCCGCGTGAGGTACTGCTCCATCTGCGGGGGCGATTACGATGCCACGCTCCCAGATTCCACGGCTTGCGACCTGCCTAGACCAGACGAGCTTTCGCATCCAAGGCAGCTTGTCTCTAGCACACCAAACGGTGTCTTTGCCATGATAACTGCAAATTGCAGGGGGCGAGGGCAGACTGCAGTCGGACCGCTGACAGCACGCTGAAAACCACACTGCCCGCGCTTTCAAACTGCAACCTGGAACAAGCCTTGTCAAAACGACCCTGACCCGAAGACCCAAAGGCAGCGGAGAAAGGCCCCTCAACTTCCGACCAACCTAGGGGAGCAGAGAAGCACGCAGGCTTTTAAGGCTTGTACTAAACCCTAAACCCTAAACCCCCTGTGTTGTTTTCCAAAACAACGCGCTGTGTTGCCCGCAACCTCGGTGCGAGACCTGTGTTGATTTCGAAACGAACCCAAAAGATGAAGAAGGAAGGAACAAAACCATGATCTTTTAGATTTGGTATTTGGATGGGATTCAAGGAAGTAGTCTCTACTATCGAGTTCCCCTTTACTTTCATCATTTTCTGTCTAGAATAGGCTGTACAGATGCTTTACGGGCCTTCGGCTGTGTGTTCCAGCTTTAATCAAAGCTCCGCATGAGCGCGGGCATTGTCCTTTGGGCCACCTGCAGCAGTTCCTGCCAACTTGGATTCGCCGGGGGTGGGGGTCTGTCGTCGGGGATTTCCAGCCATTGTGGGTTGGTAGCCCCTCACCATGGGCCACCCGAACTCCCAGGTTCGAGCTCAACATGTTTGAGATGGAGGTTCGCTGCTGTTTAACTTCGATTGTCTAGTAGCCGGGAAACTATTGATAACAACCCTTCAATAGCAACTAAACTTGAACTGCAGATGCACGACCTGAACATCCAGTCCTACACCAAGATCCGGCGGGCTGCCGAGATGCCACAAGTCTCTGGTAGAATGTTGTATTCTCCAGTTGTTTTCAAAAGTTTCCGTCCGGAGGGTGTAGAGTCTCAAGCCTAGCCGTCAATTGCGCGTAGCTTTGTAAATCGGGCTTGCCATGTTCGCCTTGATCGCCATGATGTGTGTGACGCATGTCGGGTCTCAATGGGTGGACGCCCGCGGCCTCTTCACAGGAAGTGGATGGTTTCAAACAAGTGCCGTGTCATATGGTGGCTCGAAAATTGTGGTCGCAAGACAGAACGAGAGACCGTGGATCAGCTTCGATGGTGGGTCATCTTTTGCTGCGAGCACCGCTGATGCTGTATCATGGAACAGCTTTAGCATGTCATTAGATGGCACCACGATTGTCGGAGCTGGAGGGAATTACATCCATATCAGCCGTGACAGTGGATCAAACTGGAGTGTGGTTGACCCTGCCGGAGGTCCTATGGGCTGGACAAGTGTCAGCTGCTCCGAAGATTGTTCGGTCATCGCTGCCGTCGCAGGAGGTGGCAACATTTGGACGAGCACTGACACAGGAACAACTTGGACCGAAGACTCAAGCGTTGGCAGCTCCAAGGACTGGCGATCCATCGCCGTCTCTGGAGATGCTTCGAAGATTGTGGCCGTCGCGTTGGATGCCAACATATGGCTCAGCACCGATAGTGGCGCGACCTTCGTGGGGCAAGCCGTCGGTACAAACGAGGAATGGACCGATGTGGCCGTATCAGCAGACGGAAGCAAGATGATCGCATCCGTTGGCAACGGCGGCAAGCTTTGGAGGAGCACCGACAGCGGCACTAGCTGGTCCCAGTTGTCTGTGAATGCGTCCGATCTCACATCCTTTCTTGGTGTGGACATGTCAAATTCTGGAAGCGTGATGGTTGCCATGCACTTGCCTCCTACCAATGGTTATCTGTTGGCGGTCTGGAAGAGCACTGATGGCGGCGACACCTGGTCGGAGGAAACGGGTTTCTCACAGTTTGCTTTCTCGCACGACATGAATCAAATTGCCATGGCAGGTGATGGCTCCAAGATTGTGCAGTCGGTTGTGTTGTTTTGTAGTAAATCAAAGAACAGCGCAAGAGTTGAAAATGGGCCGCCTCGATATCCCAGGTATGGTGGCAACCTTTGCACTGTTGGTGCTGCTCGGTCAACAGAAAGGGTGAAGCTCTGCCAGACACACAGCCCCCTCCCCAGACACCCTCAGGTTTGAAGTGTTCTGTAGATAGCCCTAGGCGTTCCGAAGTAGTAGTGCCAATAGTAGTATACAAGCAATAATCGTCATGGTTCATACTGGGATGCCTTAAGGGCTTCGCTGAGGTTCATGAAGTTGTATGGAGGGTTGCCTGGAGGAGCTTTGTGTTGTCTTCTGACTTCCCCTACGCGAGAGGAGTGGGAAGCCCCCCTCCACCGCACAATCTTGTTTCTGCCGAAAGGCCCGAACTGGGTTTTTTTTCGTTCACCTTCGAGAAAGCCACATTTGCGCGAGAAACGTACGATACTCCCAGATCCTGTCAGCATCATCGTTTCTTGGATTGCTGCTCACAGCGTTAAACATCGTAGGATACTTTTCGCAGACGGCTTTCAGAACTGCCTGAGTTGGGAGTAAGAATCGGTTGGCGCTTGGCCAGCAGCTAGCCACTAAGAAGGCTAGCTTCAGCTCGCAAAAGTCTGCTGATATTCTCTCCCTGCTGATGTTCAGAAGCGGATCGAGTGGGTGTCCAAGGTTGCTCACTTCCTATGAGCATCCTCGCCTGACTATCAAGATCGCAAGAAGAAAAAGGGCTTCTGTTCGAGTTGGAATATGTACTTGTAATCATAATGATGAGAATGATACAGAATAATGATAACACAAATGACAATGATAACAGCCATATCCTTGCTGCAATAACGGTCATGATGAACATGTAGTAGTGCAAGTTGCAGGTGGAGTCTACCAACATCCTCCGCCAGGTGTTGGGTGAGAGGAGCCGTCCACGAAGGCCACCTCCCGCGATGTGTTGTTCTTGAAACTGGTGATGATCATTTGGGGTTTAGTAGGGTTTAGTAGCCCTAAACCTCAGGATTTTGGGTCTGGGGTTTTCAGGGCTTAGGGTTTACGGCATCTCGACGCGCAGCGGCAGTAGATACCGTGTGGAATGGCGCCCCCCTAAACCCTAAACCCTAAACACTAAACCCTAAACCAAGAACCCAGGTAGGCACAGCAGCTTCCACATCTTGAGCTGTCATGCAATCTGTGGCTTGTAAAGACATCAGGACAAGCAAAGGCGTTGATATGGCATCCGCAACTTTTTTGCTGTTCCGTTTCTTTATGTAACTCTAGTCCTGACGGTGCACATTCATGTAGAAGTCTGCAGTATGCCCGGATGATCTTGAATTAACACGAGGCTCTCGGCGGCAGCCCAACCAGGTAATGTTTCGTTTGAAGTGGGTGTTTGTGAGGCTATCTATCTAGACCTGATGATGCCAACATCGGTTTCTTCTGGCCCAGACCCGCTTTCTCGAGGAAACCTGGGTTTTGACCTGGTGACGCCAAAATTGGCCCAGACCCGCTTTCTCGAGCCGAAAATTTGGGTTTGGGCCTGATGACGCCAAATTCAGCTTCTTCTAGCCCAGACCCGCGCACCGAAAACCTGGGTTATTCGGGCCTGATGACAGTCAATCTCCTCTGGCCCAGACCCGCTTTCTCGAGCCGAAAACCTGGGTTTGGGCCTGATGAACCTGACCAAATTCAGCTTCTTCTGATGAACGCCAAATTCAGCTTCTCGAGCCGATTCAGCCTCTTCTGGCCAAGGCCCGTTTTCTCGAGGCGAAAACCTGGGTTAAGGCCTGACGACGCTAAATTCAGCTTCTTCCGGCCCAAAAGCCCCTCCCGCGCCAGCCAGCAACCTAAGCGAGGGCCAAGCCACCCCGAGATCCTGGAATCCGTCCCGTGCTCGATGAATTGCTTCGAACCCTTCGATTTATGTCGAGCAGATTGCCCGAGCGTGTGAATTTCGATGCCCAATCTATCTTCGCCAATTTTCCAGCATCACCTCAGGATGGCTCCACGAAGCGCGGCTCGTTCGTGTCCAAAATCACCTGCGAGGCTGCTTGCAGGCAACCCTGAAACCTAAACCTTACAAGCCCTAAGCCCTAAACCCTACAGGCTTCGGGGTTCAAAGTGCAGGGAAAACTGGGAGTATGGAGTAGCCTTGAGCAGTCCGAGAGCAATGACACTGTACGAACGCTTTGCTGACAAGTTTGATTGCCAGGGCCAAGAAGACCGGCCAGATGCCAGTTGCAAGTTGCTGACATTTTCGACTACAGGAGCACGAGCAAGCCTGACCCCTAAACCGAGCCCAAGTTTTAGAAGCCACATGCTGATGTCGTATGAATGTTTTCTGTTCTTTAAAAGTTCTTTACAGTACAGTATAGTGGACTTGGACCATTGAGAAATTGACCTAGCCCGCATTCCGACACCTGACTGGGAAAGAGCCTCTCCCTGGAATACCCTACACAATGCCTTACAGGGTATATATGATTCAGCCCCGGCGGGCCCCCCCCCCCTCCCCCCTACCCCCCCCCTCAATGGTACCCCCCCCTCCCCCTGTGGTGTGGTTGGGGGTTGGTTTTAGGGTTTTAGGGTTTTAGGGTTTAGGGTTTACGGTTTAGGGTTTAGGGTTTAGGGTTTTAGGGTTTTAGGGTTTTAGGGTTTAGGGTTTAGGGTTTACGGTTTAGGGTTTTAGGGTTTAGGGTTTAGGGTTTTCCCCGCGGATGGGGTACTAAGATGATCCCCCCCCCTGTGGTGTGGTTGGGGGTTGGTTTTAGGGTTAGGGTTTAGGGTTCAGGGTTTTAGGGTTTAGGGTTTAAGGTTTAAGACTTAAGGTTTAGGGTTTAGGGTTAGGGTTTAGGTTTTAGGGTTTAGGGTTTAGGGTTTAGGGGTTTAGGGTTTAGGGTTTAGGGTCTAGGGTTTAGGGACCGTAGAGTAGGCTTGGAGGGGGGGGGGGGGGGCCCAGGACGCTCGACGCTGAACCATATATAGGGCCCCCTGCTAGCCAACAGTGGGATGTATTGGCGGCACATTGCTCGCACCGTTCTGATCTGTCGATTCCAGAGGCGTCGCTTGCCACATAAAGCTGGAGAAGGCGCGGCGCCAAGGCTAAGTCTACGCAGCATGGGATTCAAATGCACGAGCCTGTGGCAGACCACGTCAGAATGTTTGTGAGACTTGGGGGGGTGAGGAAGCAACGTCTGGCATGCAGGAGAGTCATTCAACCAAGAAGCCCTTCATCTTTTTCAGCTGTGGATGCCCATGCGCGTGTACTTGCTTGCGCGTGCGCAGTTCTTAAAATCCCGTGAGCTCGGAAACCTGCCTTGGGCGCGCCGAGGTGGGCGAAGTGGAGTTTCCCGTGTATCGGCGTATTCATGCCGCAGTTCGCACGAGGTGCGCGAAGGGAACTCGGCATCGGATTCTGGAGTCGACATAGACCTTGCATTCGTGGTGCCTTGTAATGCGAATTCATGCAGTGAGTGCCAACTTCGTCCCGGAAGCGCACGGTTCATTCATTGCTTTGGCATTTGCTCCGCCTTGGGGGCTTTGCCTCCTTTGTTCTTTGCGCAGGCCGTGCTGCAAGTGGGGCCGGCACAACTCTCTCCTTGCCCAGCTCCGAGCAACAGGTGCGGATACCTCTCGAACTTACAGCACGTTGGCCTCAGCCAGGGCAGATGGACACAAAGGGGCTCTGCAGGAACTTACAGCACGTTGGCCTCAGCCAGCACAAAGGGGCTCTGCAGGCGACGTAGCCGATGTCAAGCCGGCACATGCCGGCACCTGCTCACGAGGTGGTGCGCATCAGTGGCAATGGACTCACATTTACTGCGCATGACTGGCAACGGACGTTTACCGTGCATCATGCTGCCCGTGTTTCCCATGCTATACATGGTTCATGGTTGCCCCGTGTTTCAGCTACACGGACCACGTGCCCCAGGAGACCTCTTTCCGGACACCACGCATCTTGACAGGAGAGCTTTGACACGCTGGAAGCGGGAATAGAAAGGTCAACCCAATCCACGAAGCCTGGGATGGAAACACCAAGAGACGTGGAGCGCGATTTGGAGATGGTTGGATCAGGGCATGACTTGCCAGTCGACCGTTGTGCTGACCTTCCCTCTCAGCCTGCCGAGGGGGAAAACTCGTTGCATGGGTGAAGCACTTGCTAGCAACGGGACCAACTTCGGTGCCTTTGCTGAAAGACAAGATTTGTGAGTTACATGCCCCCAGAAGAGGCCATCAATTAGTGAGGGGCGGGTCTAAGGTTTTTGGCTCGGGCCCCGACAAAGCACCCCCTGGCAGTACAATCGCAATCTCGAGGACGCCTCGGGCTGTAACAGATCAGGGCTCCAGGGTAAGGGGGAAGAAAATATGACCCAAAGCCAGCCCCCCCCCCCCCCCCCCCGGTCACCCCTGGTGCTACCCATTCGTGGCTGACAAAGACTCCTCACACCCAGTTTGTGGTGGCCAACGTCCCCAAGACTAGGATCAAAAGCGCCTCAGGCCTGCAGCCTCGGCGGGTTTGGTTTTTCGGAGTAGTGATAGCATGACTTTTTGTTTTACACAGTGCGACTTGTGTAATTATACCTCTATACACAAATGCATGAACCCATAAACAAATAAATAGTGAAATACATAAATCAAAAAATTACTGAATAAGTAAATAAGTGTGTCTCTCTCTATATACATATGTATATATATATGTAAATATATGTAGAAAAAAGTACATATATATGTATATATATATATGTACATATATATATATATACGTATATATATATATATATATATATACATATATACAGTAAATATATATATATATATATATAACTGTCATTAAGGCTTTATCCGACACTCTGCTTCACTTCGGCTTTGGGCTCAGACAAAGACCAGGCAAGCGGATTCGTCAACTATCCGAGTCCTGTTGCTCTTCGCCTCTTAGCGATGGCGACCAGTTGTGCCAACGGCTGCGCAGCCCAGTTCCAAGGCCCTGTTTTGCAGACTACCATCCGACGACTAGCCGGAAATACCATCTAAAAGCACGGAATGCGCCGTCAACATGTGAATGTCACTCGGCTGTTTGCGCCCCGGGGCCGTTCTTTTCATCTACATGTGATATAGATGCGTGGCCGAGAAGCTGCGGAGGACTGTGTGGATGCTTTGCGGGACTTCAGAAGCCAAGAATTGCCGACGTGGACCCAGACACTAAGCCTGAGAGTGAGGCGGGGGTCCCACATAGTAGGACCCAGAATAGGCCCTTATTCCCTGTCTTTGTTAGGGTTCAGGTTCGCTCATGCTACTCCTGGGTATATAACTTGCAGTTTCAAGTCTGGAAGGTCAAGGTGCCATTGTTGCAATGGATGCCAAGCCGCGCACAACCCCCGTGTGCTTTGAGCAGGTGCTGTCGGAGAGAGGGCCCCTCGCCGATGCGTGCTGGCCTACTTTAGCGACGAGCAATCAGGAGTGCTTGCTGAATGATGTTATTCTAGTACCCCCCCCCTTACAACCCCTCGAAAGGACTGTGAGTATAACGGGGAGCTGAATGATATTGACATCCTCCTTATACGTCCTTAGCAGACGTTAGGGATGATTGGCTTGCAACCGAGGTTCGACACTCCGAGTCACCAGCCCTTCTCTCCAGGTCCCAATCCAGCGCTAGTGGTGTGCCTTTGGCCTGGACTTGATGAGTTGTATGTACAAAATTTGCAAACTACTTCGTTTGGGCCGTGCTATGGCGTACTAGATGTGAGCGCACTTCGAATGCGGTGGCGCACGCTGCAGCAGGGCATTGAGCCTTCGTTATGGAACATGTCGCTTCAAGCAAGTTCTAGCAGTCGTGATGCTCTTGCATAAGGATGTATGAGTGCTCCTGCACAGCACAGACGGTTGCAAAAGCTGCCAAGGAGTCACGCGGGCCATTGGTTCGTCCGACGCTGCTGACCTCCAAGGCCGCACTGTTTCAACTGAATAGTGCCTGTTCACATCATGGGGGGACACAAAGGCTAGACACACACACATCAAAACACACGTTTAGTGGCTCAGTAGTGCTTTCGTTGCTCTATCGCATTGTCTCGAATCTGTGTCTTGGAGTTTATGGATAGCTCGCCTCAAGAAACCTTTTTAAGGCTTTTGGTTTCGTATTTTTTCTTTCAATTTTAGGTTTGCTTTTTCAGCGTTAATGTTCGATGGTTTTGGCGGCGTTCTTGGATCAGGGCTTAAGGCTTCGGATGACGTAGGAGGGCTTTAGGCCTCTTTGGCAACTTTGGTGAGTCCGAAAAGCTGCACTTGAAGATTACCGTTTAGGCTCCTGATCCGAAACCTTGCTCAACCGCCCCAAAACCCTCCACCCCAAGCCCCCTCGAGCCACTGCACCCCCTAAGCTTTGCACGAAGGTCCTCGGCTCCCAGGCGAGTAGTTGCCGCAAGCTCAGTCAACGAGTTCAAGTCTCGTGTCGGGCTTGTGGGGTTTTATTATGGCAGAGCTGGGGTTCAGGGAGTTTGGGGTCATGGTCTTGGGGCTTAGTGTTTTACAGGCTTTAGGGCTGAGCTCTTCCAGCAAAGTCGAGAGCGCAAGGCCCAACTGAAATAATAGACTTGCCGATGATGCTCAGTTTTGTGCCCTGAACCCTCAGCTTGAAACCCTAAAAGCAGAAACTTCAACTCCAAAAGGACATGTTCACTGGGAAGCCTTGAGCCCTAAAAAGCAGATGGCAAACCTTGGCCCCGAAAGGAGACGTTGGGCGATAAGCTCTGGAAACCGAAAGGGGTGGTAACCTAAAATCCAAAAACGAGATCTTTGCCCCGCAAGCCCTAAATGCCAAGAAAGGATGTTGGGTGGAAAGCTTTAAGCCCTGAAGACAGATTGCAAACCCTAAGCCCTGAAAGGAGATGTTGGGTCAGAAGCCGGAAGGTGCCTCCAAGACCCAGATTTCCAGAGACCTCGAAAACCTTGGCCGGGGCCTTAGGGTTTAGGGTTTAGGGTTTAGGGTTTAGGGTTTAGGGTTTAGGGTTTAGGGTTTAGGGTTTAGGGTTTAGGGTTTAAGGGCTCAGGGACAGCGCAGCCTTGCGAGTAGCTCACTGCGGGCTGCCGGACCGCTGTGGCGTCCCTGAAGCCCCGTAAACCCCCAAAAAGCCTGAGAGCTGAAAAGCCACCCAATAAAGCAACAGCACCTCCAAAACCTAAGCCCCAAAATCTCCGGAACCCGGTGCGGGGGTTCAAGGCAGGGTCTGATTGGGGGGCTTTAGAGCGCTAGGGGAAACGGGTTTAGGGAATTGGGTACCTTATATCCCGAATTCCCTCAATCCCTGCTGAGAACCAGCACGCAAAAACACCCTAAGCGCTCATGACCACCCCTTTTTAGAGGCTACACTGGTGGGTGGCGGGGTAAAAGGTGTCTAGGGTCGTCCGAGACGCAAAAGCCTTGGTGAAACCAGGCCTTTGTCCAGTTTGAGCAGCCGGCGGTGGAGCCGGGCATGTTTTGTTTAGGGATTGGGCTTGGGGTGGTTGACTTGGGGGTTTACCAGGGTCACTGAGTTAGCTTCAGAAACCCCAACAGAAAAAGGTGCTGATGAGAGCTTTTAATTATATTTCAGAGCGTTTTGTATTTCCTTTTTTGGATGCCGACAGCTGATGGTTCAGGGCCCAGGGTGCACTGACATAGCGTTGCACGCGCAGCCTTCCCGCAAGAGCGCCATAACCGACTGTTGGAAGGAGATCTCCGAGAAAGGTTCAGGCTGACAGGCCGTAACTTTGGATTGGGGTTTAGGGTTTAGGGTTTGGGGTTTAGGGTTTGGGGTTTTGGGGTTGGGTAGAGGGGTGGTATAATGGATCCCAAAGCAATTCTTGAGGCGAACCGAATTGAAGACTTAAGAGCTTTGACTGGCATTGCCAGGGGGCCGCAAGGCGGCAACATGCGGCAACAGCTTCAAAGTGGCGCACTTCATCCTGTCTGCTGACTCAATCCTGCCCTCCCGTCGTCGCCGAGCGCTGCTCTACATGAGGCTTTCGTCCTCCGAGGGCGACAGTTGCCTTGGATGCGCGGAAAGCGCCGTAGCCTCAGGGCCACCCAAAAATTGAGAAACCAGAGGTCTAGTTCAGTTCTTGAGGTATACATACAATTTTAATGTTTTGGGGGGAGTGGTTTACCACACTATTCCCCCCAAAAAAAGGCCATGAGAACTTTTACCTAGTCCTAAAACTCGAAGTGGGCCCACAGGGTCCCGAGTGCTCGGGCGGGGTAGAGTTTTGGATTGAAAGGTCTAGGGTTGAGGGTTCGGGGTTTAGGGTTGGGTTTCAGGTTTGGGGTCGGGACTTGGGAGGGGGGAGGGCACGGGGACTTTGGCGGCTTTTGTTTGGGGATGTGGGCATTTAGGCCTCTTGTTAATCCCGAAACCCTAAACCTTGGCTTCAGAGCTGGCGGCTTGTCAGGTCTCTGCAGATTTTCGGAGCTAGTGCCTTGGGCTTGGGTTCAGTTTAGGGTTTAGGGTTTAGGGTTTAGGGTTGGCATCCCCTTGCGGTCGCAGGCACCTGCGCCATGAGAATCGGCAGCTGCCGGTAGGACAACGTGAACGGGCCGTCGCCTGAGATTGGGACGGGTTTGGGGTTAGGGTTTAGAGCTTAGGGTTTAGGGTTTAGGGTTTCAGAGTCTCGCAAGGCCCTGGTTTTGTCCATGAAAGCCCCCTAAAACCCCAAACCCTAAACCCCAAACCCTAAACCCTAAACCCCTAAACCCTAAGATGGTCATGGGCTCTCGCAGTACAGGAGGCAGTTGCCGACTGGAGTTAAACCTTAAACCCTGAATCCGCAAATCCCACAGCCTAGACCCTAAACCCTAAACGCCTAAACTAAAAACCCTAAAGCCCTTAATCTGTAAACCCAAAGCACATCTCCAAGGACATTTCTTAGGGGTTGTTGAACTCTCCAGCTCACCCCAAACCCAAAACCCTAGGGTTTAGGGTTTAGGGTTTAGGGTTTAGGGAAGTTCGAGCCTCGACCGTGCTGGCTCTCGGCAGAGGCTTCATCAGGGTTTGCAGGGCGGCTTGGGGCTTTTGAGAGGTGCTTGGAGTTTTTTTTTGGGGGGTGCTTGGGGTTTTGAAAGAGTTTTTAGGGTGTGGTGTTTGGGCGATTTTTCTCGGAGTTGTGAAGGTTTTGTTGGGGGTTCAAGGGCTTTGTGTGTTTCAGGTTTGGAGGGTGCTGAGGATTTTCGGGGTCGTTTTAAAATGGTGCACCTGGTTGGGATGCCTATGCAACACATCCGCTGGCATGTCTGCCCAGCAAGCCACAGCGAAAGACAACCAATACGTGACAATGCTGCATACCATATCCCTGCGGCTCGAATAGGTACGATTTATACTTTGAGACTTTAGGCCCCAAAGCAGGTACTATTCTCCGGCCCGAAACCCTCCTTAGCTGTCATATTTCTGTACACAGCATAGACATGACCATGCTTTTGGGGGGATGCATGTGTTTTGACATAGCTGCGACGTTGCACTATGCACTTTCATTCAGAGTCTCGAAGGCCACAACTTATGCCGCAGTGTTGGAGGGTGAGGCCGACTCATACAGGACGTAGCCGCCCAGGGACCCACTTTAGCATGTTGTGCTGTTTGGCCACCAAGGCAGTGCCTACATGCGACCAAGCCTGGGGAGAGCACTAGAGAAGCACCCAGGGTTTTAGGCTTGGCGGTTGTTGAGGTCCAAGCTCCGTCACGCAGCCTGAAAAGCACCCAGGGTTTTAGGCTTGGCGGTTGTTGAGGTCCAAGCTCCGTCACGCAGCCTGAAAAGCACCCAGGGTTTTAGGCTTGGCGGTTGTTGAGGTCCAAGCTCCGTCACGCAGCCTGAAAAGCACCCAGGGTTTTAGGCTTGGCGGGTGTTGAGGTCCAAGCTCCGTCACGCAGCCTGAAAAGCACCCAGGGTTTTAGGCTTGGCGGTTGTTGAGGTCCAAGCTCCGTCACGCAGCCTGAAAAGCACCCAGGGTTTTAGGCTTGGCGGTTGTTGAGGTACAAGCTCCGTCACGCAGCCTGAAAAGCACCCAGGGTTTTAGGCTTGGCGGTTGTTGAGGTCCAAGCTCCGTCACGCAGCCTGAAAAGCACCCAGGGTTTTAGGCTTGGCGTTTGTTGAGGTCCAAGCTCCGTCACGCAGCCTGAAAAGCACCCAGGGTTTTAGGCTTGGCGGTTGTTGAGGTCCAAGCTCCGTCACGCAGCCTGAAAAGCACCCAGCGTTTTAGGCTTGGCGGTTGTTGAGGTCCAAGCTCCGTCACGCAGCCTGAAAAGCACCCAGGGTTTTAGGCTTGGCGGTTGTTGAGGTCCAAGCTCCTCACAGCCTGAAACACCCAGGGTTTAAGGCTTGCGGTTGTTGAATGTCAAAGCTCCGTCACGCGCCTGAAGCACCCAGGTTTTAGGCTTGGCGTTGTTGAGTCCAAGCTCCGTCACGCAGCCTGAAAAGCACCCAGGGTTTTAGGCTTGGCGGTTGTTTAGGTCCAAGCTCCGTCACGCAGCCTGAAAAGCACCCAGGGTTTTAGGCTTGGCGGTTGTTGAGGTCCAAGCTCCGTCACGCAGCCTGAAAAGCACCCAGGGTTTTAGGCTTGGCGGTTGTTGAGGTCCAAGCTCCGTCACGCAGCCTGAAAAACACCCAGGGTTTTAGGCTTGGCGGTTGTTGAGGTCCAAGCTCCGTCACGCAGCCTGAAAAGCACCCAGGGTTTTAGGCTTGGCGGTTGTTGAGGTCCAAGCTCCGTCACGCAGCCTGAAAAGCACCCAGGGTTTTAGGCTTGGCGGTTGTTGAGGTACAAGCTCCGTCACGCAGCCTGAAAAGCACCCAGGGTTTTAGGCTTGGCGGTTGTTGAGGTCCAAGCTCCGTCACGCAGCCTGAAAAGCACCCAGGGTTTTAGGCTTGGCGGTTGTTGAGGTCCAAGCTCCGTCACGCAGCCTGAAAAGCACCCAGGGTTTTAGGCTTGGCGGTTGTTGAGGTCCAAGCTCCGTCACGCAGCCTGAAAAGCACCCAGGGTTTTAGGCTTGGCGGTTGTTGAGGTCCAAGCTCCGTCACGCAGCCTGAAAAGCACCCAGGGTTTTAGGCTTTGGCGGTTGTTGAGGTCCAAGCTCCGTCACGCAGCCTGAAAAGCACCCAGGGTTTTAGGCTTGGCGGTTGTTGAGGTCCAAGCTCCGTCACGCGCCTGAAAAGCACCCAGGTTGTTTTTTGTTTTAGGCTTGGCGGTTGTTGAGGTCCAAGCTCCGTCACGCAGCCTGAAAAGCACCCAGGGTTTTAGGCTTGGCGGTTGTTGAGGTCCAAGCTCCGTCACGCAGCCTGAAAAGCACCCAGGGTTTTAGGCTTGGCGGTTGTTGAGGTCCAAGCTCCGTCACGCAGCCTGAAAAGCACCCAGGGTTTTAGGCTTTGCGGTTGTTGAGGTCCAAGCTCCGTCACGCAGCCTGAAAAGCACCCAGGGTTTTAGGCTTGGCGGTTGTTGAGGTCCAAGCTCCGTCACGCAGCCTGAAAAGCACCCAGGGTTTTAGGCTTGGCGGTTGTTGAGGTCCAAGCTCCGTCACGCAGCCTGAAAAGCACCCAGGGTTTTAGGCTTTGCGGTTGTTGAGGTCCAAGCTCCGTCACGCAGCCTGAAGCCGGACGAGGCACACGGTTGCTGAGAGCAGACTATTCGGCCCCTTCTTTTGCCCCGGGCTTGAGGCTTAAGGGTTTAGGGTCCAGGTTTTTGTTTCCGGGCTTTGTTGCGGGTCTTTAAGTTCGAGGAGTCTGCAAATGGGCTTTCGGGCTGTTTCTCCTGAGATTCCGTGGGGGCGAAGGCAACAACACCAGTCTGCTTTGACATTTGGGTCTCTTGCAATCTGGACGAGCGAAGATAGTTTCCTGGCCGTCACCATTCGCCATTACAGGAGCTGTCACATGAAAGTAGCTGTCACAGGATGCATGTGTCGGCTTTTGGCCACGTGCATGTGTACTTCCGCACACAAAGCCCGCATCCTTAAAGCCTGCGTTTTCATCCCGATCCCGGGCCTGCGCTGAACCTAGAAAAGCAGATTCCCTGCCCCTTCTCTGCAAGCCTGGTTGAGGTTTAGAGCCACCCAAAACCTCAATCCCCCTTAAGCCCCCAACCCCAACACCTAAACCCCGAAACCCTTCAACCCCTAAACCCCATAAAACCCCAAACTTTAAGCCTGTCGCGAGGATTCCGAGCTGCAGCGGCCCAAGAAGAGGACTCGACCGGGTGGGGTGGGGTCCGGGGGTTTTTGGGGCGTAGGGTTTGAGGTTGACGGCTCATGCGTCAGGATTCCAGGGCTTAGGGTTCAAGAGCCTATGCCAATCTAAATACCCCTTACCCAAAATATGGTCCAAGCAACACTAAAATCCCTTAACTTTGGGGTGTTCTTGAGTTGGGATCCCTGCTCGCTCAGGCCAGAAACATCTTTTTAAACCTGTAAGCCCTCACCGTGCAAAGCCCGTTTAAAACTCACAAAGCCCCGTAAAGAAAAGCAAATCAGGACACCGCACAAAAGCCAAAGAAGAACCCGCAAAAAGTCCCAGCAAGAACAAGAGCAAGACAACCTAAATCCCAGCCCCCAAAACTCGTCTCAAACACCCCCCAAAACACCCCCCCACCTCTCAAACACCCAAAACAGCCCGAACGCCCCCCCACCCCCCAACAAAAAAATCAAACAACCACCGCCCCGAACACCCCTGGAACACCCCCCTGGAACGCCCCTCAAAAAAAGCTTAACCCCCTCCCCTTTTGGGAATCCGGGTGGCTCAGGAGGCGCCTCCTCTTGAGCCGCTGGGCTCAGGCCTTTAGCGGTTGGGGTAGACTTGGAGGTTCATGGTACTTATTGAGCAATTGTACCTGTACTTATAACTGTACTTGTACCTGTACTTATAACTGTTACTTATAATTGTACTCATAAGCTCCTTAAGTGCCCTAATATGGTTATAAGTACAGTTATAAGTACACTTATAATTGGTGAGTATGTACCGTGAAGCTCCCAGTAGGGTCTTGGGTTAAGGGTTAAGGGCTTAGGGCTCCTCAAGCCTCCGCAAACGGTTGAGCTTACAGGCTTGGGGGTTTACGGGGGAGTTGCGGAGGGCGGGGGGGAGGGGGACTTACCCCAGATGTTCTACGACTCTAAGTCATCAATTTCTGGGAACTCTTGTGGGAGGGGGGGGGGGGGGGGGGGATGCGTCTAGGGTTGAGGCTGCGGCTTTTCAATGCTGCCGGCTTTAGTGCTTGAGGGCATGAGCCTGTAGCGTTCAAGGGTTCTGGGTTTGGGGTCGAGTTTTAAAGGGCTTCTGCTGAACTTGATGGCGAAGGGTGGATGTTGAGGCTGAGCTGTTGTACTCTTAGGGTCACGTTCCCTTTTAACCCATGTACGAAGAGCAAAAGAATCAGGCGCTCAAGGCATAGAATTAGGCTAAGGCTTCAGGGTCAGCGTGTAGAGGGCCCCACCTTAAATCCTAAACTCTAAACTGCGAAAGCCGAAACCTCCGAAGCCCCAAGCTCTACAGAGCTCCAAAAACTACCCAAGTCACTCACCCGAACCCCTGAATCCTGAGCCCTGAATCCTGCATGGAGCTCCAAACCCAAGCCCTAAACGGCCCTAAACCGTTAGAGGGCACCGCTGGTACCAGGGTTCAAGCTTTAGGGAGTAGGGGGTGTACGCGCACTGAAGTCGTGAGAAGTAGCAGAGAAGCTCGCCCTTCCGAGAATTGATTTTGATAACAATAAAGTCAGTGCCCCGGCTCTGGTCGAGACATGTGACGAGGAAAGGCTACACTCTGTGCCTGAAAAGGCCTTGCCCTGCCCCAAGCATCCAAACGCCCCATAGGCATCACATGTCGGATCCTGATGACTGTATGGGTCTTTGTTTTAGGTGCTTCTTTTCTTTTTGTGTAACAACTTGTTGTGATATAACAATGCTTGAGCAGAAGTGGCGGTTAAGGTGATCCTCGTGCCGTTTTGGCGCAAGACTTGAGGATATGTGTCCTCGGTAGTCTTCCTTTTGACCCGCCCATCCCACCCCCGAAAGGGCTATGGCGCGCTGTGTCAAGTGTTCCCGGTGAGTGGATGTGCAAGTTTCGGACGGTCTTAGGAGTTTGCTAGCCGTGTCCCCGTGACAAGGCGATGCAGACTCCGATGGATGCCCGAACAAGTCCAGCTATCGCGTGGCCCTTAGTTCTTACACGGTCCAGCAGCATGAGCAGAGGATTGCAGTCCGCTCGATACTGACCATGGACATGATCGCCAGTGCCATAGAGCCTAAGCACCAATAGTGGATTTACTGGAACGCACTGGCGCCCTACACTTCCCTTGTTGTCACTATGAGTGGGTGGAGGGACCCGCGAGTCATGAACATTCCCACACGTGGTATATTCATTGGGAAGGTTCAGCGGCATGGAGTGCTGGAATGGCCTGCAGCAGTGGCTGCAGCACTCTCTTGAGGACTGCCGCTCGCCATGTCTCTTGGTTTCCCTTTGTTCGTAAATCAAGCTGGCGGACTTCGGGCTGTCCGTTCGAATGGATTCTGCTTGGGCCCCAGCGGGAGGGAAGAATAGGAGGTTCATCGTCAGATATATGGATCATTCTTTCTGTTGACTGTTGCTGCACTGAGATGGCTCCATGCATGGTCGTGTGCAGAACATCAGAGTTCATGGCCCCAGAGGCTACAGCGTGGGAGGGAGTCACACGAGTTTGCCATGAAATCAGGTTGCTTCTTGTGCCTGGGCGAACTGCAGATCAAACAGAGTTGGCCAGATTTGCTACGCTGAGGCACGTCTGCTTTGAATCATCAACATTTACTTGCCGCGAGGTCGATGTCTCCGCGGTTGGCAAAGTCCAACAGAGATCAGCATCTGTACATGTGCGTGTGGACTAGTGACTTAGTGTTCTTCCTTGTTTTATTTTTTTGTTTTGTGGCTCTTTCGCTTTGCCTTTCCCAAAGCCGGGCCCAAACCTCCAGCGATGCAGTGAATTTAGTTATTTTTAGAAGACTTCCAGTAGATGCTCATCGACATTTTTTAGGGTTTAGGGTTAAGGGCTTAGGCTTATAGGACTAGACAGGCCTCGGTGAGGGCCATGGCCGCCCCGCCAGAGGAGGAGAAGGAAACCCATGAAGAGAGAGTGGCGTCGTGGCAGCGGAGTCCCGGGACACAGACGCAAAAGGACCTTGAAGCAGCGGCGGAGCTGTTGGAGAGGTGGAGGGCGGCGGAGCCGAGCCCCTCGGCTCCGCCAACGCCCTTGAAGCCATTAACTACACAGGACATCGACCAACATGAAGACTCTTTTGATTGCCCGGGACAACGTGCACCTGTCCAGGACAAGAAGGCTCAGCTAGGCTCCGCCGCCCTCCACCTGCTGGAGCCCTTCAGCTCACAGGATGAGTGTTTGCAGGAGCCTCACACCCCTCCACGGAAGAAGCAGCGAGGTCTACGACCAGAACTACATGTAAGCACCCCACCGCAGCTGAAGCAGTTGACAGTATCAGCGCAGAAACGCTGGCACAGAGATCGACTGCAGAGGCTAGAAGACCCGATCGTCTCCGCCTCCTCATCGATATCACCCTCGAAAGCTCCGTCAGAAGACCCGACCGTCCCCGCCTCCTCGTCGTTGTCTTTGTTTTTGCCCCCGAGAAGCATGCATACATGGGCAGACAGGAGGCCCGTGGGCCAGGTCTGCACCTTACAGACCTTTCCGCCAGAGATCCGTGAGCACTATGAATGGATCTTCACTATGCCCAGGTCTTCGCGAGCCTTCAAAGAGCAGGCGACAAAGCTCCGTCAGATGGACCCCGCCAAAGAGACCGCGCTCCGGCAGTTCCTTGCCACAGGCCCAACGGACGAGCAGCTGCTAGAGAAGTTCAACGACCTTCTTCGTCGCTATAAAACACCCTAAAACACCCTAAAACACCCTAAAACACCCTTAAACACCCTAAAACACCGAAACCCAGGCTCCGCCGCGGGATTTGTTAGCCGCAGAGACCGTGGAAATGGACATGCGCCTAGCCGTCCAGGCACAGAATCCGAAGTACTTCCAGCTCGACAAGAAGAAGCTGGCCCGATTCAGGATCGACTGGTCAAAAAGGATGCACAGATGAGTTGACGATGCGACTGAGGTATCTGCACAGCCTCGTATATGGGTTCCTGGACGACGCTGATGTCTTGGTCTACAAAATCAAGCTGATCCTAGCATGGGCAAAGGAGCAGAATGCTGAGAACGGTATCGGGGTGTTCCACGCCTGGCGGCTGGTCAGCGATACTGGCAGCACCGTCCTGAAGATCGGCCGCACTAGTCTCCGTCCGCACGGACTGGCTGTACAATGTGCTCGATACAGCTAGCCGTTACCAGAGCCTGCACCATGAAACTGGAGCGAAGCTCACCGTTCGAGAACTAGTGGAGGCAAGATGGGTGGCGGACATGGGCGTTGTGAAGATGTGCGAAGAAACCTTCCACAGCATAGATGAGTTGAAGCCATGGAAGCTCGCTGGCTATTTCACATCTAGTGGAGAATCGTCACACGAGGTCTACGATGACAAGTCGCAGGTCCTGTCCCAGTTCCTTGCACATGTGCAGCGAGAGTGGCGGCCACATAAGCAACAAGACAACTATGTCACCAGGTCGTTTTTCGAGTCAGGGCCACTCTCTCTGAGGCAACTACGAGACAACTTGCGCCGGCACCGGCCAGGCGCGATTGTGGCAGAAAAGACGACCGCTGATATGAACTCCAGTTGGGAAAGGGACACGTGGCGCCTTATCGCCCAGATGAGCGATAAGGACGACGTGTGGTTGATTTGGTCCGACTCCTTCGGAAACACGTGCTACGTCCGACAGGCATCCGTGTTGCCCACAAGAGGACAGTTGCCAACTTGGGTCTTCGGCAAAGGATGGCATCTAGCCAAGAACTTCCCGGTCATCTTCTTCAAGCTTTCGCAGCTCCCAGAGGCGACTCGGCAGGTGCTGCTCGACAAAAGTAAGCTGCGTGCAAGGGCTAAGAGCGAGGCCGCACCGAAGGCGGCCGGCAAGGCTACAAGCAAGGCCGCGCCGAAGGCCGGCAAGGCTAAAAGCAAGGCCACGGCGGTGCGCTGATACTTTGGGGCTATGTGGACAAAAAAAAAAAGAATCAGAGCGCCCCACATGCTCTTCAAGGGGTAAGAAGCTACTATTCGTAAGGGTTGGGACAGGAAGAGTTCACGGGTTGAAGGCAAAGTCCTCGAGAAGATCAGCCGTGCAGCTCTCAGCACTTGTCATGAAACAAGAGATGTACGTATGTAACCTAAACCTGCAACCCTCATTGGACGAACGCGGTACATGCATCTGCAGTTCATTTGCGCTATATATGTGCTTAGGCTCCCCTGGCATGCAAAGTCGCGTCCTGATGACGACATCCAAGCATTGTACACGTCGAAGTGACGCCCTCGGTATAGTAATCCTCAACAATACACTTTCAACCCTGATCTTGCAGCCCAGGCCCTGCAGACCGTCCTGAAGTTTCATGGTTGCTGAAGCAGCTCCCGAGCAAGCCGAGCCAGCTGTGAAGGCTGGTGCCAAAATAGTATCTCCAAAGTCTGGCAAGGAAGGTAGCATGAGTTTACCCAAAAATGCTGCCGCGCGGTCTGGTTTGTTTCTTACAAGAACTTCGAGCTCAAAGCTTTCAACAAGATCTTCGCCGGCACTGATGCGCGTCCCCTCACGCCTTCACCAGCCTCTCTTCGCGGAGAAACTATTCATGGCTGATCCGCGGTCACCAAGCGGCTGCAATCTACAAAATTGCCCAATCACAATCTTTTTCTGGTTCTCAACCACATCGGAAAACTTCGGCCGGAATGCTGAATCGCTGCGAGCGGTGCGCGTTCAAGCTGTTGAGGCATCTAGGTCCTCACTGCGAACTGACGTCGCGCAACAACTAGGTGTGTGGTCTCGATTTCAGGCAGCAAGCCACGCCGGCCTTCCAAAATGTAACGAGTTTTGGGAAACATTTTTGTTGGACTTCACCACGAGGCATCCTGCTCCTCATCCGCCCAGGTCACATCGTTGAGAGACGACGCGTCTTAGCATGCTTTTTTCTGTTAGGAAGAATTGTTCCCCCCTATCCCCAAACCAATGTTGCATTTCAGCTGGCGATATGCAAAATCTTCTGAACTCGGGCAGTGCCAGATCACGATGATTCACCAGAACACGCGCGTAGGCAACCTCAGCCGACTCGCCCTCCTGTTCGCAAAGTAGAGGGAGCCCATCACCCACGTAAAGGACTTGCCCAGCCATGCTACAAGCCCCTTCCCAGACAGGAAGCCACGCTACAGCTTAACAGCAAAATGCCGATCACTCCAGAAGCAAGTTAACGACGCAGCCAGGTGCACTTCACGCGTGACACAGGCCACCAGCAGACCTGGCCGGCGGAAAGCTCGATGGAAAATGTGGAGGATGAGCTCGTTATTGGGCTGGTTTTTGTTTCGTATAGGTCTATTAGTGTCCTGAATCTTCTGATTTGTTTTCGCGCCGCCCTCAGAAGCAGGAGCAGTGCTGATTTAGATTCAGCATTGCCCCGGTGTTGGAAGGCAAGCATGCCAGACACCCCTGATTCACCACAACAACAACAACAACAACAACAACAACAACAACAACAACAACAACAACAACAACAACAACAACAACAACAACAACAACAACAAGCGACAGCAGAAGCGACAGCAGCAGCGCAGCAGCGACAGCAGCAACAACAACGACGACGCTGACGACGACAACGACAACAGCGACAACAGCAACAGCAACATCAATTTTAATTTGAACTTCAACTAATAATTCAAATTCAGCCCAGGCAAAGCGCTGGCACCGGCCATTGTGCAGCCGAAGCAGATGGCCCGGGGTGCCCCAAAGCCCTAGAGACATGAGCTAGGTCATAGGATGCGCCAGTCCTTGGTTTAGGCGTTAGGTTTCAGAGGTTAGGGTGCAAAAAACAGTCCACCGATAACCAGGTTGGGCACCTGTCATTGGTTCCTTATGGTTGTTAGCACGTGGGGATTTGCGATCTTTTTTTTTCTTGGGGGGCTTGCAGCGTTGCGTTGTGCAATGGTTGTGTCGTGCTTCAAGATATCTCGTGTGTTCTGGACATGCGCCCAAAACCACACCCTGAACCCTGGGCTTCGGCTAGGAAAAAGGGTTTAGGGTTCAGGGTTTAGGTTTTCTTTTTTGCGAGCAACTGCCGGTTACCATTTAGGGAAGAGGATACGTTGCTGGCTCCTTGGCATGACAGGATTCAGGGTTAAGGTTCAAGGGTTTAGCAACAGACTTCATACAAAGACGCCTATACCTGCTGACTCTGGATTAGGGCGGTTCAGGAGGCGGTAGTGGGCTAGGTTCAAATTGACATGTTAGTCTTTCCGCCCAACATTCTGTTTTGCTGCGTAACCTTTAGACAAGCCTGTAAAGTTCATGTCTCAGTGCTTTGCTTTTTCTGAGTCCGCTGCCATTCTGGGCACGGAGTGGCCGCGACAAGTTGCTCGAATTCGATTCACAGTGCCAGGCGTGCGCAGAGCGCAGCCAATGCTTGACGGGCCTCGCACGAGCAACGAGGGGCTCAGGGGAGAGTGTACCCTAAACAGCATGCAGGTTTAGGGTTTCAGGTTCAGGGCTTCGACGCGAATCAGCCCCCGCCCTTTCGATCAGGCCCCATGATTGCAGATTCTTGCCGGCAATGTGATTTTCGGCGCATCGTCGTGCTGGCAGCACCGTGGCCCCCAGTATATACCCCACCCCCCAGCCGCGTGGCTCCCCCACTTCCCTAAACCTAGCCCAAGCATCCATACCCTAACGCCAACTGCCAAGCGCTTGACCCAATCGCGATGGTTGCAAGGGCGAGTCGCGTCTATGATCTGTATCGAGCTGTTTTCAATGGCTCAACGGCAGATAACGGCGGGATGCTAAAAGGACCTCGGGGAGTTCCCGACTGGACACCCAACGCACACCTGGCTGTACTTATGATACTAATGATGCTAATAGTACTCATCATACTCATAATACTATTAAGACTACGAATACGAACAATGCTAAGCATGACAAGGGCCCATCATTGTGACTCTTCCCCCCCCCCTAAGACTGGAAGGTTTCAGGGAGTAGGTGCTTGTGAGTAAGGGTTTCAGGGGGTAAGGCTTGGGGATTTCAGGTCTCGGTCTTGGAGCATACACCCTCAATCCTAAACCGTAAACCCTGAACCCTAAACCCAGGATAACATGCCCAACGATGCCTGCCTGTTTTTTCGGGTCAGGGTTTTGGGGTATTCCAAAACCCTAAACCCTAAACCCGAAACCCATACATTGTTCGCAAGTGCAGATGTCTAGGGTTGAGGGCTAGGGACCCTCCACGTTATGGCAATGGCGATCATGTCCATGGTTGGTATCGAGCTGACAGCAATCCTCGGCTCAGGCTGAAGAACCGTTTGAGAACACACATCCCCCTACAAAGAAAAGAAGCACCTAAAACAAAGAGCAGAATCACAGGTATTGGAGCCGAGTCCGCCCTCTTGCATTTCCAACTCTTGGTAGAAGGCCAGCTCTGTGCTCCTCATGGCTTGCAGCACTCAATGCCTGGCATGGTTTCCCACACGGCGGTGTATTCCTTAGGAAGGTTCACCGCAATGACGTGCTGGCAGTGGCTGCAGCATTTGCGGCGTTTGGATGCTTGGGGCAGGGAAAGGCCTTTTCAGGCACAGAGTGTAGCTTTTCCTCGTCACTTCGACCAGGGGCCCCTGTAGTGGACCCCCAAATAGCAGGACTCCCTGATAGTAAGGACCCCAAGAAAGCACCCCCCCCAATTTCGAAAACCCCCAGATCAATTCTCGGAAGTGTGAGCTTCTCTGCTACTCCTCGCGACTTCCCAGTGCGCGTGCACCTAGACCTTGATCCCTGGAACCAACACCCCAAGCTCTGCCAACCCGTGGGAGGACGGCCGACAGCTAGCGCCGCATCAGAAAAATTGGCGGAGGGTGTACCCTACTGTAGTTCACCCCTGTATACAAGCCGTGTACATGCCCCCTCCCGGTTTATCCCTGATAATGCTGATATAAAGACAGATATCATTCGAACGTTAGCTAAGAACTCGCCATGCCTCTTGGTTTCCCTTTGTTCGTGACATCTGTTGTTCAGAGTCTCATCCCTTGCCTCCTCCAACTTGTTGGGCAGGGCAGGGCGGGCGGGGGTTTGCGAGGGGGGGGGGGGGGGGTGGATGTTGGACGTATCTGGAACGAGACACGCTGTCACGAGCAGTCAGGTCTGTTGCGAAGATGCCACAAACACACGCATTGCGGTATTTTGGTTGAACTATTGAGTGCGGCGCATCTTCCCCTATCGCAGTCGCCGCCGATTTGGCAAACGGACAGCACATCCACTGCAGTTTGAAGATTGCAGGCGGTATACCACATTGTGTGACCTGTTTGCGAGCGTATCGAGACAAGTTTGCAGATTTTAAGCTTTCTGATGCTCAGGCCTCGCTTCAACACGTCGGAGGTGCAAAGTGGGGATGAGTGAACGTAGGGTTCCTTTCGATGCCAGGCGTCGGGGACGTTCGGCGCCCATTGCCAGCCGCCTCTCTCTGCCGGGAGCAGGAGTGGCAGAGGCCCCGCGGTATACCCAAACCCCCTGAACCCCACCACCCCCAAAGGCCTGAGAGCTGAAAAGCCACCAACAAAAGCAACAGCACCTCCAAAACCTAAACCCCAAAATCTCGGGAATCCGGTGTAACGGTTAAGGCAGGGTTTGACGGGGGCTTCATGGGGCTAGCGGGAAACGGGTTTATTACTGGGGAAACATCGGGCTCCGAGGGAAAGGGTTTTAGGTTTTGGTTTGGGTTGTGGTGTTCATCTTAAACTCTGAGCCCTATAAACCTCATGAAACCCCTTTTCTCCCCCTAGATATATGCCCGTTAAGGGATTATATAAGCGAATTCCCACACTAGAACCAGCAAGTTAAACACCCTAAGCGCTCAGCACCACCGTTTTTTAAAGGCGGCACTGGTGGGTGGCGGGGTATAGGTGTCTAGGGTCTCCGAGACGCAAAAGCCTTGGTGAACCCAGGCCTTCGTCCAGTTCGAGCAGCCGACGGTGGAGCCGGGCATGTGTCGTTCAGGGATTTGGGCTTGTGGTTGACTTGGGGTTTTACTTGGGTTGCTGGATTACAGTAGCTTCAGGAACCCGAACAGAAAAAGGTGCTGATGAGAGCTGCAATTATGTTTCAGGGGCGATTGGTGTTTCCTTTTGGATGCCGACAGTTGATGGTTTAGGGCCTAGGGTGCGGTTACATAGAGTTGTACGCACAGCCTTACCTTCAGAGCGCCGTAACCTACTTTTGGTATGAGATCTCAAAGAAAGGTTCGCCATAACTTTGGATTGGGGTTTAGGGTTCAGGGTTTGGGATTGGTGTTTGGGTGGGGGGTGGTATAGTGGATCCCAAAACAACTCTTGAAGCGAACCTAATTGAAGACTTAAGAGCTTTGACTGGCATTGCCAGGGGGCCGCAAGGCGGCAACATGCGGCAACAGATTCAAAGTGGCGCACTTCATCCTGTCTGCTGACTCAATCCTGCCCCTCCCGTGGTCGTCGAGCGCAGCAAGTCTCCATGATGCATGGCTGCGGGACGTATTCAACCCGACCTCGAAGAAAAAAACATGAGGCGTTTCGTCCTCCGAGGGCGACAGTCGCCTTGGATCCCGCGGAAAGCGCCACAGCCGCAGGGAGCTCCCGGGCGTAAAAACCCGCCAAATTTGGGAAGCCACAGGTGGTTGCCAAACTACTCCCCCAAAAAAAAGGCCATGAGATCATTTACCTAGTCACCAAAACTCCAAGTGAGCCCACAGGGGGGCTTTCGGGTTTTTCAGGTTTGGGGGTCGGGACGGGGGGGGAGGGCATGGGGACTTTGGCGGCTTTTGTTTGGGGATGTGGGCATTTAGGCCTCTTTTTCAAACCCTAAACCCTAAACCTTGGCTGCAGAGCTGGCGGCTTGTCAGGGCTCTGCAGATTTTCGGAGCTAGTGCCTTGGGCTTGGGTTCAGTTTAGGGTTTAGGGTTTAGGGTTTAGGGTTTAGGGTTGGGATCCCCTTGCGGTCTCGGGCAGGCACCTACGCCATGAGAATCGGCAGCTGCCGGTAGGACAACGTGAACGGGCCGTCGCCTGAGATTGGGACGGGTTTGGGGTTTAGGGTTTAGAGCTTAGGGTTTAGGGTTTTAGAGTCTCGCAAGGCCTGGTTTTGTCCATGAAGGCCGCCGAAACCCTTAACCCTACACCCTAAGATGGTCATGGGCTCTCGCAGTACAGGAGGCAGTTGCCGACTGGAGTTAAACCCCAAACCTGAACCCCGCAAACCACAAAGCCCAAATCCTGCAAACCCAAATAAACCCTAAACCCCTGAAGTTGGCGGGCCTAGGCCCTAACCCTAATCACCCAAACTCTAAACCTCTAAAGCCCTTAAAGAACCCTAAACCTCTCCCAGGCTTGTTGAACTCTCCAGGCCCGGTGAAGTGCGAGCCTCGACCCCTGCCGAGGCTTCATCAGGTTTCTAGGGCACTTGGGTCTTTTGAGAGTTGCTTGGGGTGTTTGGGGTTTTGAAGGAGTTTTTTCGGGTGTGGTGTTTGGGCGTTTTTTCTTGGAGTTGTGAAGTTTTTTTGGGGGGTTCAAGCGGTTGTTGAGGGTTTTCGGGTTTTGCAAAATGGAGCAACCAGGTTGCCTGTGCAACACATCCGCCGGCATGTCTGCCCAGCAAGCCACAGCGAAAGACAACAACCAATTTGTGACAATGCTGCATGCTCTATCCCTGTGGCCCCAACAGGTATGCAACCTTTCCGAAAGCGGTATGTTTAACTCTTCAGCCCTTAAGCTTCTAAACCCCTTAGAGAACCTCATCATGCTATGATTACAACACTTTCAACTGTTAGGAAGCTCTACATCCACAGCGACGACACAAACAGACGACGCCAAAGGTCAGGCTTTAGGGCTCTGGTTTTTGGTTTAGGGTTGAAGTCTTCGTGCTATTGGTGCCCACTTCTCTGGGCCAACCCCCCCAACATCTACAGCCATGCAACGCGTTCACTCTAAAACCTGAGCCCTAGAAAACCCAAGGTTGCGGCAACTTGGATGACATCTGACTTGGAGGCTCAGAGTACTCACTAAGCCAATTCTGACTGTACTTAAAACCCAATTAGAACCGCATCGGGGTTCTTAAGGGGCTTAGAAGTGGGGTATGGCTACACTCATATTTGGGTTACTAAGTACACTGAACCTCCAAGTAGAGCTGGGCTAGTCTTAGGGTTCGGGGCTCAGGGTTTTGGAGGTTGGCTTTCGGCCTGATATTGGGGAAAAAGGGGTGCTTCTAAGAGCTTCACATTTCGATTTGGTTTAGTTCTGGGGGCTCATGTCAGGGCTGAGGTTGCACTTGTGACTGCCCAAGTCATGCAGCCCTAAAACCCTAAACCCCAAGCCCCAAAACCCCTAAACCCTCAACCCTCAACCCTAAACCCTAAATCCTAAACCCTAGCCTTCAAGACGGTTCTCTGATTCCTCCCCTCCACCGATCTCAAGGTCTGCGCGCGCGCGCGTGTCTTCGGAGCTCCAGGTCCAGGCGAGGCCGCTAGGCTGATGCAGAGGGGGTTCAGGGTTTAGGGGTTTAGGGGTTAGGGGTTTGGGGGTTTAGGGGTTTAGGGTTAGAGGCGCTAGGAGTCGGGAGCCATGTTCTCACGGCCAATCGGACTTTCTGGAGTGCTCATGTCCGCTGCAGTGCCACACGTATGTTCATAGTACAAAGACCCTCAGTCCCAACATAGTACGAAGACCTTCAGTGCAAAGTCCAGGCGACCCGCAGGAAGTGGATGTGTTCTAGAGCAGTACAGTTTATTGAATTATGTTTTTTCTGGTTCAGGGTTTAGGGGTTTAGGGTCTTTGAGGGTTTAGTGTAGTATGTTGCAGCGACGTGCAAGTATAGTCCAGCATATGAGTTGATCCTTCCCCTTGGCTACGATTTATCTGTTGGGTGGCCATTGTTGAAATGGGTCCCTTGCATCGGCCATGCGAGCCATAGAAGTCGCGGAGCATACTAAACCCCAAACCCTAAACCCTGAGCCCCAAAATAGTATAATCCTTATTATAGGAACCCCCAAAAGGGTACCCCCTAAAAAAAAAAAACTTTTCAGGTATAAGTAGCTTTAAAAGTGGTATGGTATTCTGGTCGCAGGGCGAGTCGGGTGCTCCGGATGCATGCCAAAATCACGCAGCAATCCGGAGTCAAGGGGAAACGGGGGAATCTTCGCCTCCGCACTTCGCAGCATGCCTTTGTGTCCCCCGGCGAGTCTTCTGCTGGTGACCGTTGTTGTCGCCGCACCCGGGCTTGATTTCAATCTGCTCTCAGCGTTTAGGGTTTATAGGGTTTAGGGGTTAGGGTGTTAGGGGTTAGGGTTTAGGAGAGGCATGCAGGCGCTTGACGGGCCAAGGCTGTTGGGGCCCTTCTGGACGAGGACACCAACTTGCTATTGCAGTATGGACTTCGAGACAAACTTCGGGTCCCCCCGGCGGCCGAGTCGCTTGAAAAGTATCCCTGGCGACGTGGGCGGCGGCATGGGCGGCATGGCAAGAAACGCCGTCATGCAGGCGGGGCTTTTCCAAAGGGATGTGAGTCGCAGGATCACACCCCTAAACCCTAAACTTGTGGACGCCCTGAGGCTACTACAGCCAAGAGGATAAATGCGGCTACCCCATCCTCACGAAGCAGAGCTACCATGCGCGCCTCTTCTCCTACGTGGGTGGAACTTCGGCGACGGTGGAGAAGATCACCGGACTGCTCTCCTTCGAGCCAGCGACGGACCGAAGGTTTACGGAGGCGATCCTGTCAGGCCTCAGCAACGGAGCTGCCAATTTCAGCGACCGGCGAATGCTTTGTGTGTGGAGCAGCAAACGGATGCTCACATGCACTGACCACCACGATGGCAGCGGCGATGTTTCTCAGAGCACTGCAGCCCTTGCGTATGCTGTGGCAGAAATCATAGCTGTTGTCCAGCAAAACACCACACTCAATGCATCACTCGAGGTCTCTGAAATTGAGGACCTGAGAGAGGTGTTTGGTCTCCTGCAGGAGAAGGGTGACTTCACAAGCTTCTTGACAGTGTCGCACTTCATGCCTAAATCTTGCGTACCGGCAGGTTTCGAGTTCTCGCCACCCGGCCGCGGGTCCCTGCGAGACGATTTGAACTTCGATGATGCCGTTGCCCGGGTTGAAGTCGGCTACGCTGGTGTCTGCAATGAATGGGCTGCCTCTGCACAGTGGTTTCCCAGCCTCGTGGGCCAGACCTTCGATGTCCACTTCACCCTGCTTCTAGCCTGCACTCGTGACATCTCGTGGCTCGTGGACAGGTTGTCTCTGTTCCGGTGTTCTTGAGTTTTTGAATCAAGTTGTGCCCACCAGGTTCTATCGTTGGCTGGACCTCAAAGCGCCCAGTGCAACCGGTGTGGTGAACATCACTGGCATCCTCAACTTTACGGAGCAGGTGAACTACGAAAACCAACCGGTGCCTGGCACGCCATGCGAACTGTTTCATGGGCGTAGGATCTGTCAGTGTTTTTTCCATGGAGGTTCCTCATGACTCAGGATAGCAACGGACGGTTCGTGCTGGCAACTTATTCTCAGTTGGTGGCTTCCCCAGCAATTCTGACCATGCCATCGACATTCAGCGAGGTATGTGCTGTCTCGTCTGACAAGATGTCTCTGGTTTGTTCCAGGGCTGTGGAGGCATTGGAGTATAGTGAGGACACGGGCGACGTCAGCGTAGACACAGTTGCCCGTGCTTACACTAGGATCCAAACAGCCTTGGCCAGCGGCAATGGTAGCGCCGGATTCTCTACTCCTAATACAATTTCCGTGAAGACGGAGACTGACTCATTGAAAGTTGCAGTGGCCTCGGCAAGCGCTGCTGCCGGCTCCTTTGTCGTGGCACCAACACCTGACGAGGCAGAAGTTGGAGCCGATGCTCTCGCGGAGGCTCTCGATGAATTTCTCGACTCCGGTACCGAGGCCATCGCCGAGGCTGTAGCGGAAGGTCGTGTAATGGCCAGATCTTTGAGGGTCTCTGCAGACACAAGTCGACGCTTCACGGAACTGATGCACTTGGACCGCTTTGATTGCCCGAACTACCACAAAGACGAAGGATGCACTCCATGGCAGATCCAGTTTGCAAACCCAGGCCGAGGATCCTTCTTGGGTTCGCCTGTGGCTTCTACAACCGAAACGGCCTTAGATGCAGTCTCCGTTGGCAGTGCCACAAGGCAGGGCTTTCAGCCTGTTGAGACAGAGGCAGCAAGCTGCGCGTTGCCCCCTTCCTGCAGCTGCGCCTCCGGGGCCTACCCCAGCTTTGCGCTGGCAGGGGAGCTCACCGTCACCCTGGCACGATTCAGCCGCCTAGAGATTCCGGAAGCGCTGCCGGCATCCTCAGAGGTGGAGACGCTGGATGCCAGAGTGCTTGGCCAGTTCAACGAACAAGGACTTCTCGACAACACTGGTCGGTTTGTATACATGGAGCTGGCAGGGGGAGATGAGGCCAAGGTATCGCTGGCTGTCTGCGCATATGCAGAAGCAGGCAACACTTCGTTAGTATGCGCGAGGACGAGCTTGCTCTCCCTGGTGGCCACCGCGCAAGCACAAGTGGACCTTGCCGCTGAGGTCTTCGTGGATTCACAGGGTTCCGGGCGCAGCACGAGCGTCGCCCAAGCCTTGGCCAGCGCAATCGCAGCGAGCACCCTCCTCTTGGACAGCAACGCGGAGTTCACAATGGAGCTGTCTGTTTCGAGCTGCGCGCCGAGCACTTGCGTGGTGCAGGAAGTGCAATTCCTCCCCGCCGGCCGTGGCACACTGCGGCTTGGAGAGCAAAAGCCCCGATTCCTGAGCAATAACCCGTAGGACTGACGGCCGAAGTTTGAATGCTTGAACGGTTGGAGTCTGTTAGCACCCCTTTGCAGTATGAATCAGGTTGGACTACATTCAGACGGACATGTTCGGCCCCAATGAGACTGTCGGTGTTGCAGAAGCCGTCGTGTCCATTGGCAATGCAAGCGCAACCCCGTGAACACGAAAGCCTTGACACACGGACAAGTGTCACAGGCTTCCACTCAGATCCCCTTCTCGTAGGTTTTAAACCAGCGCATTTCACAGTTCGTTCGTTGCGCAATATCACGTTTACAGAGCTATAGGTCTGTTGCGAGACAGTTTTGCCGGCCACAGCGGAATGCTTTGGGCCTGCTTCTTCGAATGTGCAATTTGATAGGGCGATGTCCATGCACTAATTTCAATTATTCACAGTCTTGTCATTTGAAACTTGCCGTTCCAAGCTTGAACATGGTTGAACTATTGTGTGCGGAACATCTTCCCCTATACAGTCCCCGCCGATTTGGCAAACGAACCGCACATCCACTGCAGTTTGAAGACTGCAGGCAGTATGCCACATTGTGTTCGCATTGGCGTGCTCAAGACCTGCAAGCGAGCGCATCGAGACAAGTTTGCAGATTTAAGCTTTCTGATGTTCAGGCCTCGCAATAAACGTCGGAGACGTGGTTCCGCAAAGTGGGGATTGCTTTCAATGCCAGGCCTCGGGGACATTCGGCGCCAATGCCAGCCGACTCTCTCTGCCGGGAGCCGGAGTGGCAGAGGCGCGACTTGTGAGTTTTAGGGTTGAGGAGTTGAGGGTTTAGGATTTTAGGGTTCAGGGTTTTGGCAGAGCCCCAGCGGTTCAGGATTCTTGGGTATTCTACTGCAGAATTCCCAAGAAAGAGCATTTATGCGTTTGTTCTAAGGGTTTATACTGGTTTTTCAGGGGACTAGAGGCTAACTGAAATTCCAGCTCCCGAACCTCCATGAGGAGTTTTGGTATTCTACCGTAGTCAAAAGAAAACCAAAACACGGGCTTCTGGCGTTTTATGGTGGTTTGACAGTCTGGGACTTATTCAATGCCCGGAAATGGCCGGAACATTTGTTGATGCCGGTCTCGAGGGTTCAGCAACAAAATTTCTGTAAAGTATACCCCGGAATCTTATTCTGGTCATTAAGGCCCCTACAGTTCGTCTGAAAGAAAGCCCCGAAAACCTTTAAACGAAGCTCGAAGACCCCACAACTCTCTTCACCTGTAGTATAGTATGTGGGGGAGGCGAAAGCATCGAGGGCATCTCGATCCCGACCGTTGCTGTGGTGTTGCGAGGAGAAGAATGAGGGGAGATGCTAAGGCAGTGCACGGTTAAGGGAATTTGTGGCAGCAATGGGGCGACGCCGTTAGGTCCGTTTTGCGGCAGGACGTGCTCATGCCACATTGTGCAAGATGACATAACAGCACTACCAGCGTGAAAAGATTGCGGTGAACGGATTCTGCTCCTGAGTAAACAGTCCGACTGGGGATCGCTTTGTGTGTGCATCCTCACGTAACTGAACGTCACAACCAATGCAATGCGAACACAGTTGCCGTACGAGACGATGTATGGAGTGGCAAGCATGAGCAAACCCAAATAGGGGTGAGCGCCAAATACATCGAAACATTCAACAAAGCAAAGATACGGTTGACCCTGAAATTTTCCTTAACCGAAATGCTCTTTTCATAGATGACGCCCTTCCAAAGCAGTCCATTTGAGCATCACGTCTTCGGGTGGGTTGTTGGCGCTATGGGATTTTTCTCAGCATGCTCCGGCAAGGAGCGGCTTGCTGTTGGCATCTTGAGAAGGGCCTGAAACCATAAGCACCGTTTTCCGAATAGTAAATGAAGCCTCAAAGCGGCCCTATTCACAATCCTTAAGATCTTGCCCTCCACGCCCCAAACCCTAAAACTGAAGAGGAGTGCTGGACTCGCGCACCTGCTCCCTTTGCAGCGAGTGCGAGGCCCAATAGTCGGATCAAGCTGACATGGCAGAATTTACTTGGGTTTCGGGTTTATAGGGTGAGAACCAGCTTGGAACCAACCTGCACAAAACAGCACTGGCACTCTCGGATCAGCTTTGAGCCCGATTGCGTCTTGGAGTTTATGGACATCTCGCCTCAAGAAACCTTTTAAGTAAACTTTTCAAGTTTTTGGTTTAGTAATATTTTTTGCAACTTCAGGCTTGCTTGTTCAGCGTTAATGTTCGATGGTTTTGGGCTTCGGATGACGTAGGAGGGCTTTAGGCTTCTTTGGCAACTTTAGCGAACCCGAATCCCTGCACTTGGAGTTTTAGGGCTTAGGTTCCTGATCCGAAGCTTCTGCTAAACCGCCCGAAAAGTCTCCACCTTAATCCACCTCAAGCCACTACCTTACTGTTGGTTCGTGGGGAATCAGGGAATGAGGTACCGTATATCCCCCCATTCAGACAAGGGTACCTCACTCCCTCATTCCCGACAAACCAACCATAAGCTACACCCCCCAAGCTTTGCACAAAGGTCCTCGGTTCCCAACGCAAGTAGCTGCCGCAAGCCCAGTCAACGAACGAGATCAGGTCTCCTGTCGCACTTTTGAGGCTCTAGGGTGTATGGCGGAGCTGGCTTGGGGAGTTCAGGGTCTTGGTCTTGGGGCTTCGGGATTTAAATGCTTTAGGGTTTCCAGAGGGGCTGAGCTCTTAAACCCAACTGAAGTAATAGATTTGCTTATGCTTAGCTGTGTCCTCTCAACCCTAAACCTTAAAAGCCAAGACCTCAACTCCCAAAGGAGATCTTTCGCTGGCAAACCCCGAGGCTCTAAATGGAGATGTTGGGTGGGCCCTAACACCCAAGGGCGTGGTAAGTGAGAACCCTGACTTAAATTCCAAAAATGAGATCTTTGCTGGCAATTCAACGGCCTTTGAGCCGTACGTCAATTCCCTGTCCTAAACACCCTTGAAAAGCCCCACCCACACACACACCCACACCCACACCCACACCCACACCCACACCCACACGCACACGCACACGCACACGCACACGCACACGCACACACACCCACACAAACACAAACACGCACACGCACGCACACACACACAAACACGCACACACACACACAACACCACACACACACACACACACACACACACACACCACCACACACACCACCACACACACACACACACACACACACACACACACACACACACACACACACACACACACACACACACACACACACACACACACACACACACACACACACACACACACACACACACACACCACACACACACACACACACACACACACACACACACACACACACACACACACACACACACACACACACACACACACACACACACACACGCGCGCGCGCGAACGCGCAAGCGCACGCGCACGCGCACACGCGCGCGTGCACGCGAAGCGCGCGCACGCGAAGCGCGCACACGCGAAGCGCGCACGCGCGAAGACGAGCTGAGCTTGATTTGGCTGCGAACAGACTTAAAAATTGATTCCATTCACTGTCATCATTCTTCATCTAACAGCAGAGAACGTCCCTTGGCAAATTGGCTTTCCCGAGGATGCACGCGTGGCCGTTGCACTGAGTGGAGGCATCTGGTTTTCATTTTGCCTCCCGGCAAAGCCGCTGCTGCACCGTCAACCAAAATCTCTCGAGGGCTTCGGGGCTTGAGCTTCGAGTTGCATTGAACGGATAGCTGCAACACACCGTGTTCCGATTTTGGGTTTCGCTGCTCAGTTCGGGTTCAAGGTGCTTGGGGAGCCGAAAGGCATAGCATTCAACAGATTCCGAAACCTAGCAAGTTTCTGCAATCCCCGAAGCCTGAGTGGAGGCATCTGGTTTTCATGTTGCCTCCCGGTAAGGCCGCTCGGTGCCGAAGCTCTCGCAGCCCAGAGCTAAGCTCTGAAGGCTAGCGGTCGATGCTGCAGCCGGCCGGGCGCAGTTGATCGTGAAGATCTGCGGGACAGGGCTCGCTTGAAGGTTTTGGGGGAGCCCTGAGCCCTTGCGTTCTGAAGAGTTATTGAGTTATTGACATGCACCTCCTCCGAGAAGCGAGGACAACTCAAGGCGTGCATGCAGCAGAGATCTTGCTCAGGTGACCTCCATGTGATCCCAACTGATATCCCCGCCTTTTGTCCTCGCCGACGTTGGAAAGCAAAAGCGCCACTTCCTTTGCTTGTACATATTTCTACGTCTCGGCAGGAGCCATTCGGGCTTCATCCAAACAAGAACTCCAGACGATATAAAGCATCCGTACACTGAGTGCATGTCACAAGCTGTGGAACAGGCAAAGTTGAGCTACGCTGGAACTGCAGGGGCACAGATGTAGCAGGCATCTTCGGGCGTAATCCCGTGTAACCCTGCACCGTCAGCCAAAATCTCTCGAGGGCTTCGGGGCTTGAGCTTCGAGTTGCATTGAACGGATAGCTGCAACACACCGTGCTCCGATTTTGGGTTTCGCTGCTCAGTTCGGGTTCAAGGTGCTTGGGGAGCCGAAAGGCATAGCATTCAACAGATTCCGAAACCTAGCAAGTTTCTGCAATCCCCGAAGCCTGAGTGGAGGCATCTGGTTTTCATGTTGCCTCCCGGTAAGGCCGCTCGGTGCCGAAGCTCTCGCAGCCCAGAGCTAAGCTCTGAAGGCTAGCGGTCGATGCTGCAGCCGGCCGGGCGCAGTTGATCGTGAAGATCTGCGGGACAGGGCTCGCTTGAAGGTTTCGGGGGAGCCCTGAGCCCTTGCGTTCTGAAGAGTTATTGAGTTATTGACATGCACCTCCTCCGAGAAGCGAGGACAACTCAAGGCGTGCATGCAGCAGAGATCTTGCTCAGGTGACCTCCATGTGATCTCGCCGACGTTGGAAAGCAAAAGCGCCACTTCCTTTGCTTGTACATATTTCTACGTCTCGGCAGGAGCCATTCGGGCTTCATCCAAACAAGAACTCCAGACGATATAAAGCATCCGTACATTGAGTGCATGTCACAAGCTGTGGAACAGGCAAAGTTGAGCTACGCTGGAACTGCCGGGGCACAGATGTAGCAGGCATCTTCGGGCGTAATCCCGTGTAACCCTGCACCGTCAACCAAAATCTCTCGAGGGCTTCGGGGCTTGAGCTTCGAGTTGCATTGAACAGGATAGCTGCAACACACCGTGTTCCGATTTTGGGTTTCGCTGCTCAGTTCGGGTTCAAGGTGCTTGGGGAGCCGAAAGGCATAGCATTCAACAGATTCCGAAACCTGGCAAGTTTCTGCAATCCACGAAGCTCCACACTCTGCGATACCAGCTGACGATGCAGCTGATCGACATGAATACATCTAGATTTGCAGTTGCGGCTGTCGCGTGACGAGCATCAGTGCCATATGGAGCTCGGCTCGAGGCCTTGGGTTTGTTTGTTGGGCTTGGACTTCAACATGGCATAGCAAAGCATGCGGGGATTTGACGAAAACTGTGTCGCAGGTGCCAAACGGCCTTGCGTGAAGTTCGTGAGGAGGCTTTGCACGTGTACTGATCGAGGTTCACTCCTTGTAACATTATTGCGGGGTGTTGGGTGAGACTGGGAGCTTGCCCTTTTGGGTAGTTCAGACCATGTCGAACATCTGGGCTTGGCCCTAGGTCAGTGGGCTGTTTGTTATCGGGTTGAAGGGCGGGGCGCGGTTCCCTACGAACGTCTGCGTGCTGAAGTCGGAGTCCCAAACCTTGATCCAAAATGCCCGAAACTTGTGCATGCTGTGCACTATAGGAATCTTTTGCTTCGCGGCCCCAACTATGGGAAACGCTGCATTGTTGCTTGAGCCTAA